CATTTGCTCTCGGAGCGGGTGATCTATTTCAACTCGACAACCCAGGCGAATTTGAAGAAACCATCATTTCAAAATGTGTCGACACCTATATCAGTGTATCTGCTCAACACCATGCTGCACCGCAAGAAAAGAAACGGGATAATGCTTTACCTACTCTCGCAACTACTTTCGCAAGTGGGCTCAATGACATCAGCGCGGCTGCTGCTGCGTTGACTTCACCCACTACGCCTTTCTCGCAGTCTACTCTACCATCAAAATCTCTTCTATCACGAGCCTCTACCAACAACATGTTGGAACAGTCTGTAGCAGAAGGCAAGACTTCGGATTCTACCATTTTACCAGATCGTTCTACTCAGATTGCGCTCCAAAAGATTGTCGAAAGACTATTCGAGAATTGTTTACGCGAAGGGAGGTATAGACAAGTGGTAGGAATTGCGGTTGAGGCTAGAAATTTGGAGGTCTTACGAAGAGTCATCAAGCGTGCTAGTGACGACGAAAAGAAGTCAAAATCGAAGGTGCCCGAAGGTACAGCTGGCCCAACAGAAGAATTGATGGAATATGTCTTGGACATTTGCATGGGTGTCGTACAAGAGAGAGGGCTTCGAACAGAGATACTCAGATTGATCCTGGATCTGCTGAACGATATACCAACTCCCGATTATTTTGCAATTGCAAAATGCGTTGTTTATCTCAACATCGACGAAGAGGCATCGGCAATGTTGAAAAAGCTTGTGGTAAGTATACCAACTGGACGAGGCTACAGTGACTTTACGTGTTATTTGGAATGAGGCTGACCTTTTTTAGGCCAAGGATGATCAAACTTCTACCGCTATCGCATATCAGATCGCTTTCGACTTATATGATAATGGTACTCAAGAATTCCTCGCCAAGGTTATTAAATCTTTGCCCAAGAAGGTCACCGAGGTAGAGCCATCTACAGAGGAGCGTGAGTAGACTCTATATTCATGCTTGAGTTTTTACTGATTTTTTGAGTAGCAACAGAATCCGATCAGCTCTTGGGAGAGTTGAATGATCAAGCCGGAGACTCTACCGAAGAAGCCTCGGATGAACAACTCAAGGTTTATGACTCGATCCGAAAGATCCTTAATGGTAGCGAGACCATTCGACTCAACCTCGAATTCTTATACCGCAATAACCACACCGACCTCAGTATTCTCAACAAGGTTCGTGACAGTCTTGAAGGTCGCAACTCCATCTTTCACACAGCTGTTACTTTCTGCAATGCGTTTATGAACCACGGCACAACCAACGACAAATTCTTCCGCGACAATCTAGATTGGTTAGGAAAGGCAGTCAACTGGTCAAAGTTTTCTGCCACTGCTGCTCTTGGTGTTATTCACCGTGGCAATCTTTCACAGGCCAAGAGACTATTGGAACCTTATCTACCAAAGCCCTCGTCAATTACAGGTTCACATTATAGTCAGGGTGGTGCTCTTTATGCTTATGGGTTGATCTATGCCAACCATGGCGCCGATGCCCTCGAGTATTTGAAGAAAAGCTTCAATGAGACTCAGGAAGAGGTTATCCAGCATGGTGGTGCGTTAGGATTGGGTATTGCTGGTATGGCTACAGGTGATCAAAAAATTCTCGAGAACTTGCAAAACGTACTTTTAACCGATTCTGCACTCAATGGTGAGGCTGTTGGTCTTGCGATTGGTCTCATCATGTTGGGAACTGGAAATGAGAAAGTCTTGCAAGAGATGATCCTCTATGCTCACGATACTCAACACGAGAAGACTGTTCGAGGTCTTGCTCTCGGTATGGCATTAGTTATGTACGGCAGACAAGAAGGAGCCGATGATCTCATTAAGGGATTATTGAAAGACGCAGACCCATCTCTCCGTTATGGTGGTATCTTGGCTGTAGCTTTGGCATACTGTGGTACAGGAAGCAACAAGGCAGTTCGTCAATTACTTCATGTAGCTGTCAGTGATGTGAACGACGATGTTCGCCGTGTTGCCGTCATGAGTTTGGGTTTCATTCTGTTCCGCAAGCCCGGAAGTGTGCCACGTATGGTCGAACTTTTGTCCGAATCTTACAATCCACATGTTAGATACGGTGCCGCCATGGCTCTTGGTATCTCTTGTGCCGGTACCGGTCTTGATGAAGCCATCGATCTGCTTGAGCCTATGATGAAGGACCCTACAGACTTTGTGCGACAGGGTGCCTTGATCTCTCTCGCTATGATTATGGTCCAACAGAATGAAGCAATGAATCCAAAGGTTACGGAAATTCGCAAAACCTTGAAGAAGGTTGTTGCAGATCGTCATGAGGACGCTATGGCCAAGTTTGGTTGTGCATTAGCATTGGGTATAATTGATGCTGGAGGACGTAATTGCACAATCGGATTACAAACTCAAACTGGTAATCTGAACATGGCAGGTATTGTCGGTATGGCAGTCTTTACACAATACTGGTACTGGTTCCCATTCACCCATTTCCTCTCCTTGACCTTTACCCCTACATCTATGATCGGTTTAAACAGCGAATTGGAGATTCCAAGTTTCAAATTTCACAGTGCTACTCGTCCAAGCCTTTTCGACTACCCCCCAGAGCAAGAAGTCAAGACTGAGGATGCACCAACTTTGATTGCAACTGCCGTACTATCGACAACCGCTCAAGCAAAACGCAGAGCACAGAAGAAAGAGCGTGCTCAACGACGAGAGAGTATGGATATCGATCAAACCCCTGCCACACCAAAACTTCCCTCCTCAGCCGATGATAAGATGGATGTAGATGAGTCATCCAAAGACACTGAAGATAAATCTGCTGAGAAAAAGGATGAAGGCGAAAAAGATACCCCTGGAGAGACCTTGAAGAAGAAACTTGAGAAGGAGAAGGTTGGGTATGAGATTGAAAACATGTCTAGAGTTTTACCATCTCAACTCAAGTTTGTTAGTTTCCCAGCTGGTCGATACAAGCCAGTCAAGAAACCAACTGGGGGCGTTATCGTAATGATTGATACTCAGCCAGAAGAAGAAAAGGTCCTGATTGAAGAAAAGGTGAAGAAGGTCAATGTCGAAAAGGCTGCAACGTTTACAACTTTTGGGGATCTACGCAACGAAGCCTTCAACATACGTCGTCAAGCCCACGCTCAAGGTGAAGCTGCAGGTGCATTCTCAGGAGCTGCTGCTGCTGCAGGTGTATTGACCGCTGTTGATGAAGACGATGAGGGTGACGAGGAAGCTGCTGTGCCCAATGATTTCGAATATTTCTCTGATGGAGAGGAACAGTAAATCATTTTAACTTGGGGCTCGTAGTGAAATCTGTAATTTTAGCAGTTTACATTCAGCGGAAGCATGTTTTAGATGCAGTCCTTGAGGATAGCATCATGCATGTATTGAAGTGGAGGAAATGCATTGTGATAGTATAGAGATGTGTATAACAGAGAGCATTATAAGTGAAGCATTTACCTCATGTGATGTGTTGTTTGAGTGATCATGAGATCCATTCTATGGTCTTTTATCCTTGCCTTTTTTGTTTGGGGGTATCAATACGTGATATGTTGCAACAGCTAGACAAACTTTGGAACATTGTGATCATTCTCGCGCAATCAGATAATTAATTTGTACCCTTTCATTTTTTAGGGTATAATTCAATTAGATAAAAAAGCGTTTAACAGAGATTCTCGTAATGCTTTGTTAGAGCCGGAGAGAAAGTCATGATGTTAATGTTTATGAATATGAATATGAGGATTTTTAGACTGTGTTAATAGGTAGATAGGCAGGGTTAATGCAAGATTGTGTGATGTGATTTGAGGTTCTTTGATATTAGGAGAGGGGAGGGACGGGATGGAGAAAAAGAGATGAGGATTTGAAGAGAGGGTTTGTATGATTTGAATTATGTTTAGTAGGATTTGGATATCTTAATGTGGAGGGAGGTAGTTTTGTGTATAAGGGGTTGAATGATGGGAAAGTGTTGTTCGATACGGTTACCTCTTACTACTACTAGTAGAGCTTAGAGACCTGTGATCAAAACTTTTCCCTTCCTTCCTTCCTTCCTTCCTATTTCTTTCCTTTATCTGATGGACAATAGGCTGAATACGCAGAGTCACGGAATTCTGGTTCACGACAGCTGAACAATCACTTTTCGATGAAATCATGAAGAATATCGCGACTAGATAGTTACAAGGATGGGATTGGATTTGGAGATTCTTGCCCAGATCCTATAGATCGAGGGGTACCCGGTGTGGAGATCTTCAGTGTGTAGTGCTTGCTTGTATAGGTTTCTACAGTCATGTACGCTAGGTGGGTATGTAAAGTTGTATGGTTTCGGTTAGGGCTGGTTTATGTTTGTCGATTTTACGAGGGAGAGACTGTGGTTCGGATTTTTTGGAGTGGAGATATCTTTCGTTTGATGTTGGGCAATATGGGGGTCCTTGATGCGATGTCGAAGAAAGGATACGATAATCACGCTTGGAATCTGTATATACATTCGAGTGAAATGTATGGAATGACAATTCTGAGACGATGCTCAAAGATGAAATAGCATTAAGCTTTTCTAAGACACCTATCTCATCTCATCTCATCTCGCCCATATCTGTCGAGATCTGCAAGTGCAAGGTTGTCGGATGATTCTCGTCTGATTCGCTCGCGATCGACCACTCCCTGGTAAGAATATATCTGCTTCTGCGTATCTCTGCATGGGCCCTTATCATTCTGCTTATCCTTCTCCGGTTCGATATCTATCGCATAGTACACGATATGCAAATGCGATGAGGGAGGGGTTTTACAAATGGAAGGAAAGTTACCTATCTACCTTATAGGTAAAGTTTGGGTTTAGGTGGAATTGGTATTGAATCAAATTTGTATTTATACATACCACAGACCGAGATTCTTCGTTTCGTGTTTTGTCGTTCTTGATCTTTTGTTTATTGCTTTAGGTGCGCTTTGAAGCTCGAGGTTGGAGGAAAGAAGGGCTTGTTCATAGATACGCTTGAGAGGTTATTTGCTGTTGTCGAGAAGAGGCAAAGAGTGAAGATGCGTTCTTTCGCTTCGATACCATATGTTCCTACCGGAAGACAGATTAGAGAACGATGCACGACTGTCAAGGCATGGGAATTACCAAAGCAGAAAAGTGCGTTGGCGCCAGAACATGTTTGGACAAATGAGGATATGGATCCGGTGAAGAAGGAAAATCAAACTTGGACTTTGTGGACTTGGTGAGTTTGTTACTTGTGATTTCGTGGAGATGTTTTGAGGGTTAATGGGGATGGGAATGGGAAATGCTGGAGGATATTGGGTTGATTTGGCGAAGAGATGATGGATAGAGTAGGTGGGGTGTTGGCTGATGATATGCAATATAGGATGGCATATTGGGCAACTGATACAATCACTCTGAGTACTTGGGAGACGGCGAGTAGTGTTTTGGCGGTGGGGTTAACATGGAGAGAAGCAATTCCAATTGTGAGTTTATACGCCATCTCTTTATGTGACCTAGCCATCTCATCAATCATCAGATCAAAACTGACAAATATAAAAGATGGTAGTAGGAACAACATGCGTTGCAATTCCCGTGGTACTCAACGGGGCCATCGGTGCAAAATTCCATATTCCATTTTCAGTAGCAATTCGAGCATCTTTTGGATATTATTTTGCATACTTTTGTATTATTTCGAGAGCTATACTGGCAATGTTTTGGTTGGGCATAGTAGGCGCCGGCGGAGCACAGTGTGTTACGATTATGATATTGGCTATTTGGCCTAGTTATGCGAATGTGCCGAATCATATTCCGGAGGATCAAGGAATCACTACGCAGGGAATGATTAGGTATGTCATTCTACTGGATGAACAGTAAGAAATACTGATGAGGTTATCTTTAGCTACTTTCTCTTCTGGATCATTCAACTTCCACTCCTTCTTATACCCCCTACTCGTCTCCGTTACCTCTTCGTGACAAAACTCATCGCAGCCCCTGTTGCCGCACTTGCAACCATGGGCTGGTGTATCCACAAAGCCGGCGGCTCAGGATCCATCTTCGACCTCCAACCTACCGTTTCCGGATCCACCAAAGCATATCTCTGGCTCTCCTGCATGACATCCGTCACAGGCACGTGGGCTACACTATCATGCAATATCCCCGATTTTTCTCGCTATGCACGATCTTCCAAAGGTCAATTCATTCAACTTCCCTTCCTCCCTCTCATTTTCACCCTGTGTGGTACAATCGGTATCATCACCACCTCAGCCACCGGAGTCATCTATGGAGAACCACTCTGGAATCCTCTCGACATCCTCGCCAAGTGGCTAGATCTAGGACACGGCGGACGAACCGCAGCATTCTTCGCAGCCGCCGCTTGGTACATCGCACAAGTCGGCACAAATATCACCGCAAACTCTATAAGTGCAGCAAATGATCTCACCGTTCTCTTCCCCCGCTACATCAACATCGAACGCGGCTGCGTCATCGCTGCCATCATCGGCGGATGGATCATCGTCCCTTGGAAAATCATCAGCTCCGCCCAAACCTTCCTCTCTTTCATGGGCGGCTATGCCGTCTTCCTCGCGCCCATTGCGGGGATCCTCGCAGCGGACTACTGGATGGTGCGGAAACAACATCTGGATGTTCCGGCGCTGTACGATCCCCATGGAAGATATAGATACGCGTATGGAGTTAATTGGCGCGCGCTCTTGGCGTTGCTGCTGGCGGTGTGTCCGAATCTTCCGGGGCTGGCGTATAATATTGCGTTGAAGACGGATGGGGAGACGGGAGTGGAAATGGATGCAGTGAGCATTAGTCAAGGAGCGAAAAATCTTTATTCGTTTGATTGGCTTTTTGGGTTTGTGGTTAGTGTGGTGGTTTATGTGGGGGTGAGTTGGGGGTGGCCGGCGAGGGAATCTTTGGTTGAGAGGTCGGTGTATGGGGATGTGGTGGAGGGGGAGAGGGAGGAGAGGATGGGTAGTGAAGGGGGAGAATGCTGAGGGTGGATTGGAAGGGGTGTGGGTTTCTGGAGATGGGGAGAAGAGGTAGGAGATGATGTGAGATTGGGGGGTTGGAAAGTGAATATTGTATCGCTCAATCTTTACACGCCGATGATGTCTTGGATGAGATGTTCATAATCATGGAAATAAAGAATAGGACGGGACGGATGATGCGATATGATCTGGCAATATCCTAAATCCGTGGCACTAACATATGATATCCAACAATATTTGGACCGGTAGATTAGATATAGATTCTTGGTATATAAACGCAGGTATAATATCAAAAAATGAATCAAACATTTCAAACCATTTTGACCATTCAAGTTTCTGATTGTTGACCTGTAACTACCTAGGTAGTTTGCGCAGTTGGAAATCTTGGTTGTATGATAGATTATGCGGCAATAACCTATAGTTTTACATCAAAAGACTAGAAGATGAAGAAACATACGTGTAGGAAATATGAGAACTTCAATAGTTACACATGGAAATCATTGTCAAAGGGAGTCTGAAGTGACTGGTTTTGTTGAACATGGATGAAATATTGATATATGTACCTGAGAGATGATATGTTGATCACGAATTCAGAATATCCACCACATACTATTCACTTTCTCTATTCGAATCACAATATAGACTCGTTCACTCATTATGTAGGGATCATAAGATGGATAGAGTCATACATGTCATGGTACTTATTATTCCTATCATTTCATATTTCCAAAACACCTCGAGGTAGCATGGTACAGATGACACAAATACAAAAGACAGAATACAAAAGATAAAGAAAGAAGAGAGAGAAAGAGAGAGAGAGAGATGAACGACTACTAAAAAACAAAAGGGAGAATTCGCAAGAAAAGAAATCCAAATCTTGAAATAAAAATTAAACCACGCCAGTAACCATCACAATTCCAATCACCCCAACAATGTCTCTCCACCCAATATACTTTTATCCTCCTGACCTGGTTCTATACCTCGTCACCCTACGAACCGGACTCGGACTCCGGTTCGAATTAGACGTCGAAGTAACTTGCTCCGAACTCTCATTTTCGCCCTCCTGGTGTACCTGTGCCTGCCCTGAGCTCTCAGTACCACTCGACTCATACTGCTTTATCCGCGACGTCTCGGTTTCATACGTATTCATTAGATTTTTCCAATCCTGAGGCTTTACCTCTCTTGTTTCTCCCTCGTCTTCATCTTGATCTAGATCTATACCATGCATTGATTTTCGTCGGCGATCCTGTCGACTCGATCTTCGCACGGGTTCGGCTTCGATCTCTGGACTTGGAGTCTGGATCGCCGTGCGTCGACGCGTGGTACGGTTAGAGGGTGGGTATAAGTCCTCTTCGGGGATTGCGGCGGACGATTTACGTTTGGTGGGGGAGTATGGAAGGGGAGGGGGTTGCCTGATTGATTTGAGAGTGTATGTGGAGTATGGTTTATCGTATGAGTCTAGCGGAGCTGCAAAGGACCGGTGTCGTCTGGTAGGTGTTGGCTGCGAAATTTCGATTTCGACTCCGGGGTCGGTTTCGGCTTCAGTTGGAGGCTCGTAATCGCCAGCTTGGAAAAGATTTTCATCGTCTCCGTATTGTACATGATCGGCTTCGATACTTTGCTGTAAGTTGTCGTCGGAAGGTAGGTATGAGGGGTGATTCGCGTAACCTGTTTCAAGGCGGTTGGAGTTGGAGTGCTGGAATCCCCCTCCACCTCCTAATCCGCCACCAAATCCACCCGCTCCTGCTCCACCCGTCCCTTGTCCCTGGCCTGGCCCAGGAAGTGGTGTAGTATTTCGCAAGCGGGTACGGGAATTCATTGCATTGGCCTTTTGGAAATGATCTACCAATTTTTTGAGTTCCTTCGGATCCCTGCCCTTAGACACACCATGTACATCCGCGATACCTTGATAATTGCGGTGACGATAATGGTCTACCACGAGAAGATTGTCATCGGAATCTGAGCCGGGTACAGCAATTTGCTTGCTACAGCCAGGGAATGGACAAGTAAATGGGAGACTTTTGTTTTGATCGGTAACTAAATGTGTGGCCATGTGTTCAAAGATTTGCCTTCGCGTCTGGTTGATCGTGTGATATTCGCAACCTTTGCGAGACCAAGGACATGGTCCAAGGCTATTCCTATCTTCAGCGTATGCTCGTCTTTCACCCATAGGGCGTTTCGACTCTCGTTCGGCTAAAGCTCTTTCGCTTTCTACGAGCTCGTTCTCCCGTTGGGTAATCCAGGAGAGTGTGGCTGCGTTCTTGGCCGCAATGCGATTGAGTGTTGCAGTTCGTGCCTGAAGCTCTGAATGGGGAGGGGTGAATCAGTTATGGTTAGAGGACCCGTAAGGGGACGAGGTGCAATCCAGATACGCTTAATTAGGGTTTCAAGATCTGAAAGGAAGAAAGGGATATCAGCTTGATACCCTATAGAAATAATGGAATGGAGGAAAGAAGATTTGGGAAAAGATTATGTGAATTGAAGCAATAAGGAAATATAGTGAACGTACCTTCAACTCGCTGTCTCAAATTCTCAGGTTCTTTTGTTCTAATAGAACAATATACTCTATGATCATCCAATTGAACTTCAGTGACACCAAGCAACTTTGTACCACATCTCAAGCAAAAAGCTTTTGGCAAACCTTGTGGAGATGTGCAATGCTCATCATGCGTGGTGATTTCATTGTTGCTCCATGCACTCTTATCAATGCCACATTTGGTACAGAACTTCTTATCTTGAACACGTCGATTCTTAGCGGTACAATTTATGACATGCTGACCCCGTTCTTCTTCGTCCTCCGTGGTACGGTTCTGACCACAATCGCCGCAGAATGAAGGTTTTAGATCAAGTGGTCCATGATCTGGTTGATCAAGGCATACGTATCTGTGATGAACTAGTTCAGCATGATTGCAGATAGCGGTGCGAAGTCCGCATTTGTCACAGAATTCGACGATTCCTGGTATATGGTCTGCCATGTGACGAAGAACTTGTTCGGCCGTAAAACCACTCATTTTGGCATCGCAAACAGGACATTCAATGCCATTCCAGAAATTGCGAATCATTTCGGTGTCTGTTTCCACTTGATGAGTTTCAAGATGCTCTTTCTTTTGCTCCATGGTCATGATCGACCACGATTCTCGCTCACAAAGAGGACATTGACCCTCTTTTTGGAGTTGGACTAGATGCTGTCCATAATGTCGTTGTATTTCAGCATGCTCATAGCCCGCCATGGTCACAGAGCAGATGAGACAGTTGTGAGATCGCTCCAACAAGCCATTCCTTAACTTCTGATTTTCTTCTACCAAGTTTAAAATATCAGTAGGGGTCAGTCGTTGTGTATAAACTGCAGGAGTTGAAAGAGAAACTCCTAATGTCAATTCTTTACTAGGCCCATATGTTGGTGCTGAGGGATCAAGACCCGGCTCAATGACTGATTGGTCTTGGATATATGAACGACGCTGTAATGCATCCTTACGATGTTGATCTGTCATCCAAGTCTCCCATTTTGGAGTGATGGCCTTTTCGGCAACGGGTGCAATGAGTCGTGTCTTGTTGATACGAGGCTGCTGTGATGCTTCAACAACAGGCGCCACAGGAACTGGGTTAAGTTCCACCGGAGGAGGAGGTGGGATTTGACGAGTATGTCTATAGCCCCAAGGAACTGTATCAGGTTGCACTGTGAAGTGTTAATTAGTCATATGGGTTGAAGCATGGCGAAACTCACTGAAAGGTCTAGTTTCTCTTCGCTCAATGAATATATCGGTTTCTGTGAGCCAATCAAAGATGTATTTCCTCCAGTAACTCTCTGTAGTTCTTCGATCCACTGCGAATGAACGATTTGTCTTTGTTTGGAGTAAAACAAAATTCGAGTCAAGAGCATGATCCCAATCATCATACATTTCTCTCATGTTTGCCCTGAAGTTCTCTAGGGAGGTATTGTGTTGTTCGTCTGTTGTATCCCACTGCCAGATACGTTCGCCTTCGACATTATCATGAAGAGTGAAAACTTGATACTCCGGACGGAACCAAATATTCGAGAAAGTTTGTACGCGACCGAGGAAAGCTGTTCTAATCATATTGCCCTTCTCAGCGTCTGGTAACTCGTCATCAATTTCTATAATGACAGGCGGCAGGTTCTCTTCACGTTCTATAGCACTGAACCACATTGCGACAAGACTACCGTTCGGGTATTTTGAATTCTGGCTATGACGATGAACCTTTCTCAGTCGTTCTACAATAAAGCTGTAAATATGTTGATATTCATTGCGTTCAAATGCAATATCCCTCTGGTAGTCATCGCCAATGAGATGGAGGTAAATTGTATCCTCGGGCTTTTTCCTCATGTCTGAATGAGGTGGAATTGTTATAGTGAGTTGACATGACAAATCAACCTCAGATTCAGCATCAGAATCAGCATCAGGTTCTGCGACAGGTTTTGGAAGATTTTTCTGTTGTCTAACTCGTTCAACAACCCACTCCCAAGTTTGAGGGGTTACCTCCATACCGCCAAAATTAAGAGCATGTTCGCGAACCCCTTCTTGTGTGGCGGAAAGTCGTGGATTGCGTGAAGGACGATCCTGGCCGTAAATGGCAAGGAAAGCTCTGACAAATGAGGGCTGTAAGTTATTTAGACAGTATGGTATTGCAGGGTTGAGGACCAAGGGTATTTTCCAGTAACTTTCCGCATTTTCTTGTTGGCTGTATAACCTGACTATTTGACTATTTTGAGGTGGTTCGACGACTTGGTGTTGTGAGGGTGCGTAACCACTAACATTGCGCACGAAGACGCTTATTTTATTACTAGCACCGATAAGAAATTTATCCCTGAGGGAAAGGAAATCGTTCCTGTATTGTGTTCTGGTAAAATGTAAGGGTGGCAATATGCGATCTTCAGTATGAACATCAACCAAGAAAGACCAATCTGATCTCGGATCTATATTCAAAAGTTTCGTGACGGTGTCTTTGAAAGCGAGGTATGTTGGTCTGGTAAGTTTCTTCCCAAAATACGAATAGATGGGATGCTGAGATGTTTTTTGAGCATCATCGGGGAATTCTTTTGCCAAACGACGTAAATCCTCATAGAACATAGGAACGTCTTCATCAGGAAAGCGCTCTTCAATTATGATACTGAGTTGGTCGTGATCAACTTTGCCGATGACCTCCTCAATACTTGGCCACTTCTTTTCGAAATCTTCATGTGAAGCTATTGAAAATGAGATTTGTAGTGGTTTATCAATCTTACGTGGATCTACCTGGCGATAGATATCAACATTGAAGTGCAAATCCATTTCATTCGGGATCCCAAGAAGCCTATGAGCTGAAATGAGGAATTCTCTTTGGACCAGATGTGTACGCCGAGACTTATGCTTAGGACTTGGGCCCAGAAGGTTAAGATAAAACCCTCTTAGTAGAGGGGCGCGCTCATGAAGATCCGCACCCCCACGCATATTGACGAGCGAGCCCCATTCACCATCACTACTATCTGCAAGGTCTAATTCCTCAATAGACCCAGCGCCACCTCGCATGCTTACTCGAGGACCTATTGATATTAGCAGATGCATTGCAAGGAAGTTTTGGTAACGAACGTCGGATAATTTGGTATCCGAAAGATCTCTCAATATACGAATCCAAAAATTCTAAAGGCTTCTCGGAATAGATAATTCTCTGTGTCCGAGGGGGAGAAGGTGCGGGATCTTCTTCATCGTCTTCATCGTCTTCCCAATCCGGAGTGAGGACCATAATATTATTCAATGTCATTGGTGCTACAGGAAGACCAAAGTGGACCATTGTCATTTTTGTTGCAAGATTGTCGAGCTGTCCGTCAAAACGTCCACCTGGGCCAATGTTCTCATAGTATTCTTTGCTTTGTTCATCTCTCACAGCTTGTACGTCATTACTCCAAGCCTGAGGATTGATCAAAATCTTTTGCATCTCTTCATAGTTTTCATCAAGAACGTCGGATATTCTCTCGGATTTGAGAAGCTCGGCATAATATGCGCGAGTTTGCCGCCACAAACGATCCGTAGCGCGAATGTCTGGCATCCATTGTAGGCTTCGATTCTTGTTGTTAATCTCGTCGTAGTTTTTTTTGTCTAATTCTTCATCAAAATATTTATCAATAGCTTTAGCTTGTTCGCGTCGTAATTGAGCAACTTCCTGCTCCGAAAGGGGTCTAGCATTCCGAGGAGCAACAGGTACCTCGACTGGATCCACGGGATGAGGCAAGAAATATTCTCTTAAATCTGAGATTATACCTCGTAGGGTCTGTATGGGCCCGGTTGCTGCCATTATAGAAGATGTTGATTGTGAAAAAGGCAGGGAATGATGATGGAAATGCTATCTGAATGGATAGAAAAACAAAAACAAGGGGAAGAAGGTACTACAAATCTCAAGAGAAGACAGAGCTTTAGCGGCTGAAGCTTCCAACCATTCCTTTGTTGCTTCAAATGACGGAAAAGAAACATCAAGGGCAGAATCTTTAGTTCAGACAGAACACTTGTCCTAGAGCTCCAGTTTCCAAGTCGTGAAATTGCATTGTGGATGTTCTTTGATCAACCAAAGAGCAATGCAAATGATGATCCCGAGTGAATAAAGACCATTCATGCCCATTTGAATAAGGAAATACGTCGTTTGCGGTTGTAAAACTGAAAGAGCTACTTATTCTTTGAATACATTCCTTGAAGTCGAAATCTCAAAGGTTCGTTGGACTGTGATTTGCGACGACAATATTTACGGTGAATGTGGTGCTAAGATATTGATGGATTGGGCTCCAAAGTATCATGATAGCATAATGAAACATCGATTCCATAAGGAAAATAGGGATTGATGGTATGATCATGATCATAAAACGCTGCTTCCAGTTCAGTTCGACAGAAAGTAGAGATGAGAAGTGGAAATGGGAGAAAGCGGTGAAATGTCAAGTCACATGATGCTGGTCAATTCATTGAATAAATTTCCGGTTCCCACATACAGATCGGTGTAAACTTCATCGTAACAAAATCAGACCAAAACGCGGCATCGTCGTTTGTGCATGCTGATGATAGGTAATGTAGTCATTGATGCTATATTAAGGGCAGCCAAACAACCTAATGTTTGTTCCCATCTTTTGATTACATTCCATATCACGTGATTATGACTTCTGCGAGGGCTCTTCTGGAGCGAGAAGTCGCACTTCAATCGCCCCCTGACATACCTTTCTCAAATATGTAGCCGAGCATCGAGTAGTCTCGGTCTTGTTCAACTACAGCTAATTATATTGATTATAATGTATAACATCAATTTGCTTGTTTAAGTTTCAAGCATTTCACATCTAAAGTTCCCAGTCTCAATCAATTCTTACATCGATGAGCTATCGCCTATAACTCTTTCATCATAATTCATCATACTTCGTATCTTAGTACCAACATATTCTTCTTCAAAGTTTGATTATCTCTCTAATCTGAAATTATGTGTTCTGCTAATTTTTCTACGGTTTACAAGCACCATCTATTCAGTACCCGTGGGTTTCTTCGACTTCTCTGGCCATCTCGTTCTTCTTCGGGCTTTCACATAGAAGTTATTCGGGCGGACCAGTTGAAATTCCGGATCATATTCCACTGGCTCATTACCCATCTTTTCAAACTCATATCTATACACCAACATGGAAAGAATGACTCTGACTTCTTGCAATGCGAAGTTGAAACCAATACACATTCGAGGACCAGCAGCAAAGGGCACATAGGAGGCCTTGTGTCGACTTTTGACCTTTTCTGTATTCCAACGATCAGGATCAAAATCTGCTGGCGAGTCCCAAACCTTCGGATTGTTGTGAATGTGATGAATGGCAATGATCATTATGGAGCCTTTTGGAATACGATAACCACCAGGAATAATCACATCTGCGAGAGCGGTACGACCTGGTTGGTAAGATGGATTGTGGAGACGTTGTGTTTCTTTGATGAGGATCCCGAGGAATTCCAGTGAATTTGCAAGGTCGGGTGTCCACTCTGTATCGTTCTTGATATCGTGATCAACCAGTTCCTGGAGCAAGCGTTCTTGATTACCGGGGTATGAAGCAATGCTAAATAGGAGCCAACTGAGAAGTGAAGCCGTGGTAATGAACCCAGCTCCAACAGTCACTAGTGCCGCATTGTTGCGGTATTTTTCTGCAAGCTTGTGGCCTTTTTCATCAGTCGCTCTCACTAAGTAGTCAACGATACAGGTTGCCTTCAACGCTGCATCTTGAATGGGTAAATCCTCCGTTCCACCACCTTTGACATTTCTGATAGATTCTTCTATTAATTCTTTCACGTGCGCTTTATTGTCCTTCAATTGCTTTGGTGCTCCCCATGGCATATGAGAATACCAATCTCCCATTGTCGAAACTTTCTTGTTGAGCTCCAAGTTTTTGCCAACAGTCCTTACGAGGTCATGAAGGGGTGCATCGATCGAGTCAAAATGATGCATATCCATTCCCAAAGCTAGTTTTCCAATCGCAGTAGAACCCATTTTGAACATATACTGATATACATTCCAAGCTTCATCCTTCTTGTCCAGTTCATCAAAGACTTTAAAAGCTTGTTCCGCTGTGTCTTGCATTTGAGGTGTATAATGCCTGACGGCTTTTGGACTAAGCGCCGGTGCTAAGAACTTATGTGCTTCTTTCCATGCTTCAGTATCCGTATCGGATAGAAAGACACCTGCCATAGGATCCTTGATACCATAAAGAGGATGATCGGAATTTATCACTTTCGACCAGTAACCTCCTTCTCCAAAACAGACATCGGCCACCTTAGGATCGTTAGTGAAATACGTCGTACGACCCATGTCTGTCGTTTTGAATACTGGCCCGTATTGTTCAAACAAACGTTGGTGATTTCCGAGATGGTCAGGATACACTTCGTAATAACTTCCGGCAATCGGGAGGCCCGTTGGTCCAGGAACATCTCTGACTTGGTTTCCGTCAATCAGAATACCGATTGGAGAAGATACATCTACGAAGTTGTCAAGATCATCAAGAACTCCATCTTTATCAGTTTGAAACGAGATTCCTGAATATGGGTTAACTCTTGCATGGCTAATTCAAATACTGCAAATCTACCTGATGGTTCCGCAATCGAAAACTTTTGAGCGACAGTGTATTGCAGAAACTCAAATGTATTTTGAAGATCCACTTCAAGCGCTTGAGATGTTCTGGCTGGCTGTCCCAGCAAGAAAAATGTTTTCTCTACCATGGTGTTATATATGCTTTGGTATACAAGGAGACAAATGAGAGAAAAGTGAAGTAAATGGAGGGGGGGGGGTGAGGATCGAGCTAGAAAAGGGATATGAGGACTCAAGGACTCGATTGCCTACTTAATGGTGCATCGACTTGTTAAAAATTCCCGAACATCAAATGTCAAGTTATAAACTATATATTCTATAAATATACCTGGCGAACTTACCAACAGAATTAGTTTCAGATGCATATTTTGGCTCCAGACAATGAAGTCATAATTTTGTTTACATGAAATGTTTCGCGGCACTAGATGTTGGCCGCGGTTCCTCGGTATATTTCTTCATCAATCCTTACAGGGTACCGAAATGTGGTGAAAAATCAATCAAGAAACTCAAATAGCCTTGGAATAATTGGATCAAAGCCCATACGGCCTTAGTTAAAGGGGTTAGTCTCCAGAACGGTAATCGGCAGATCGACGGCTAGTCAGCCGGTGGGTCTCTGTGAATGATCCTTCCATACTAGTCCGAAAAGTTCCTGGGACTTTTCTGATCGTTGATATGGAATCATCTTGTCTTGGCTAAAATGTCTTTGATTATTTACTAGAAGATGGTTACGATTCTCGTTAAATCTTGAAACTCGGATTGATTGCTGAAAGCGTCGCTACACATTGAGGTCATCTCCACATATACGACATATGTATAAGTTGAAGTGACCTCGGGATCAATAATCAGTGGCGTCAACGGAGATAAGTGAAATTTGCATCCTCGGTCTTCCAGAGATTTAGTTCTTCCTTCCTGCTTCCCTCTCCGTGCACTGAAAATCTTGTTCGTTGTCTTTTGAAGAGATCCCCAATCGCACTTGCTTTAGCCTAGCTACTCAAAACATATTATTATCATCATGAGTGAAAGCAAGCAATTTTCTCTCAGTGAAGTTCAGAAACATAACAAAAAATCGGATCTATGGCTCGTGATTCATCATAACGGTTCGTTTTTACCTCCACACATTATCGATCAAAAGCTGACACTTCTGAAGTTTACGATGTAACAAAATATCTTGAAGACCACCCTGGCGGAGCAGATTCATTGCTCGAAGTTGGAGGGAAAAACTCTACAGTTGCTTTTGAAGATGTTGGGCATTCGGCAGATGCGCGAGAAACCATGGAATCATTTCTGATAGGAAGGTTGGAAGGGGCACCCGATGAGGAAGATGAAGACAGAGGATTGCCTATGCCGAAACCAGATCTGAAGGCCAAATCAGAAGATCAAGATTTCAATAGTGAAGCTCCGCTCATGACTGCTGGTAGGGCTGGACTCAAGGTTTTCTCATTTGGATCTGCGCTTTTTATAGGCTATGAAATTTATTCGAGATCACCAAAGATAGGGTGGCTTCATGCACAACATGGAGGCTTCTGGAAAGGTGTGCTTATATCGAGTATTGCTACTCTATCCATCGCGGCAGGAGCGGGACTTTATCTCGAAAAATCATTATCGGGATCTTTCAAAAATCCATATTCATACCCGTCGCATTACAAACCATCTATTCAGATTGCCAAGCCAATCACGAAAGTCAAGGGATATCTAAAACCAGATAACTATCAAAAGTTACCTTTGGTCAAAAAGGAAAAATTATCTTCAGATACCCATCGTTTAATATTCAAACTTCCAAAAGATGATATGATACTCGGCCTTCCAATTGGACAGCATATCAGCATTCGAACAGAAATCGACGGGAAACCCGTCAGTAGATCATACACACCCGTTTCCAATAACTCGGATCCCGGGGAACTTCGATTGGTGATAAAGATGTATCCGGATGGACTTCTCACTGGAAAATATCTCCAGCATCTGAAAGTTGGAGACGAAATTGAAGTACGTGGACCAAAAGGTGCGATGAGATATCGGAAGGGAATGGTGAAGAAGATGGGAATGATTGCAGGAGGAACGGGAATCACACCAATGTATCAGGTAACAACGTCTGCTCTTCTATACATTACTTAGGCTGACATTGAACAAGTTAATTCGAGCAATATGTGAAGACCCAACAGATGAAACATCTGTTACTCTTCTTTATGGTAACAATAGTGAAGAGGATATTTTGCTCCGCGAACAGTTGGATAATTTCGCAAAGAAATACCCTGAGAATCTGAAAGTACATTATGTATTATCTAAGCCGTCTAAGAAATGGAAGTTGGCCAAAGGATATGTGACCAAGGAGACGGTCAAGGAATGTTTCCCAGAACCAAGCGATGATAGTAAGGTGTTACTATGTGGTCCACCGGGTTTGGTTGACTCGATGAAAACTAGCTTGGTAGAGCTGGGTTGGCAAAAACCAAGAGCTGTCAGTAAATTGCCTGACCAGGTCTTCTCATTTTAGCTTCATTTTAATTGTATCATTTTGAAAATCAGGGTGAAGTTTACCATTCTTGTTCGCTTTGGAATTAAAGTTCTGAATTGTACGTGAAGCGTGCGAAATCTTCCGACCTCTGCCGAAAACTAAGCATCCGTTCGCCTCCGCTGTATATCCGACCTTCGACCTCTCTTCAACCTTCAAATTTCAAATGCAAAGAATCTGCCGCTTCATCCAGAGCATACGTACGAGACAAAAAAATGCGCAGAAATTCGACATCATGAATTGCAAAAATTATGCATAAAGATGACTAGCATGTATTGTAACAGACTCAGTTGGCCAGACCTCGAACTAGTTGCCTTTAGGTCCGGCCGGAACGACCCATATTAGTTATGCGTTAGCTTCAGATAGCTTGACCGAGGCCCAGACAAGTAGTTTGGTATAATTGTAATAGATACATTTAGTTTTCCCTTCCGTCGCTGGCCCTGACATCATACCGAGGATGGGTGGAATGTTCGGAAGGGACTTGAGGGTGTGTGGGTTGTGGATTTTATGTGATTTTTAGATGACTTCTCATATATAAAGATTTACCGACATATTGGATAGAGAAATACTGATACGTACATTAATACAGACATTGACAATAAACCTATCCTAATCTAATCAAGAATTTCCTCAAAGTCATTTCAACCAAATTTTCCTACACATCAAACCCTTCAATACAATTTTTGATTTGACTGCCCCGAGACCCAAAAATGACCTTCACACTTCCCACCACCAAAAACCGTCCCATAACCGTTCTAGGCGGTGGTGTTCTCGGCCGTCGCATCGCCTGCACATGGGCATCAGGAGGTTGGGACGTACGAATCCGCGACCCTTCACTCGAACAACGCAATGCAGCCCTCCACTACATCGAAAACAACATATCCATCTACGCATCCGCCATCCAATGTTCATCTCCGGGCACCGTAACCGCCCACGAAGATTTAGCCGAAGCGGTAAAAGGAGCTTGGAATGTTATCGAAGCGGTGCCGGAAAAATTGCAGTTGAAGATCGATACGTTTGCTGAATTGGAGAAGCTGTGTGAGTCGGATACGTTGTTGGTTAGTAATTCGAGTAGTTATAAGACTTCGGAGATGTTGGAGAAGGTGGGTGGGGATACGAGGAAGAGAATTTTTAATACCCATTATATGATGCCTCCGGATAACAAGATTGTGGAACTTATGACTGATGGAGAGACGGCGGACGAAATATTTCCGTGGTATGTGGAGAGGTTGAAGGAGGTGGGTATGCATCCTATTGTTGCTAAGAGGGAGAGTACGGGATTCGTGTTTAATCGGGTTTGGGCAAGTATTAAAAGAGAATGTTTGATGATTCTTGCAGAGGGGGTTAGTACCCCAGAGGAATTGGATAGGGTTTGGGTAGAGATGTTTGGGGTGGGAAGGGGATGGGCCCTTGTGCTATGATGGATGGAGTGGGGCTGGATACGGTCGCGTTCATCGAGGAACATTATGTTAAGGAGAGGGGTTACCTTGGGAACATACGGTTGACTTCTTAAAGAAGAGGTATCTGGAGGAGGGAAAGCTGGGTGCTAAAAGTGGGAAGGGTGGATTGTATCCTCCTGGACAGACAACAAAAGTCAAGGGCGAAGAAAAGGATCATCATGAGAATTTGCACGCTCCGTCTTTGTAAGTTGTCTCTCCCATAATTCACGAGACTAAGGTTAACAGACCTAGATATATGCTAGACATTGGACTCAATTCCCTGACCGATACCCTAAACGCAGGTCGAATTGTGGTTGGTTCCCCTGATGGCCGTCAACTTCGAACTTTAGTCTCCGGTCAGCATCTCCCAGACGGTCTTGACATTTCTCTCAAAACCGGTCGTATATACTGGACATGCATGGGCATCCCGACATCCAACGACGGCACAGTACAATCATGCCAACTCGACGGTAGCGACATTCGAACCGTGATTCCATCCGGAGCAGTCCACACGCCTAAACAACTAATCATTGATCATGCCGCTTCTAAATTATATTTATGTGACCGCGAGGGTCTACGAGTCATGAGATGTAATTTCGACGGATCAGAACACGAAACCATTATCCAAACCGGGGATTGGAAAATCCAGAAGATGCAAAAGATCAACTCAAATGGTGTGTAGGAATTTCCATAAACAATAAAGAAGGAAAATTCTACTGGACGCAAAAGGGATTCTCAAAAGGAGGCAAAGGTCGAATTTTCCGTGCCAATATTCAGATGCCTGCAGGTCAAAATGCTTCGACTAGAAAAGACATCGAGTTATTGTTTCAAGAATTACCTGAACCCATTGATCTCGAGATAGACGAAGATACACAAACGTTATATTGGACCGATAGAGGAGATCCTCCTCGAGGAAATAGTCTGAACGCAGCAAAGCTTGGAGATAATTCATTGAAAGCGCTAAAGGATGATAGCGAAGAGAAGAACGAGTATCAAATCTTGACGAGACAATTGCATGAAGCGATTGGATTGAAACTTGATACGGTTAATAAACATGTTTATTTGACGGATTTGGGCGGTGCAGTGTATAGAGTGGGAATGGATGGGAAGGATAAAAAGAGGGTTTATGATGAGGAATGTTCATTTACGGGTGTTGGATTGGCACATGTTTGAAAGGTCTGCGATTTTTAGCGAAAGACTTATTAATGTTTTGTATTCCATAGAAAGACGATGGGTTTGTTCGTGATATTAAAAAATAAAATGCAAAGGAGGTCTACTTCGCAAATCTCGGCAATAAAGTATTATCCCGCTTTATCCGTAATTACCTAGTATTTAATGAACTCAAATTTAGAAAATGCTCCTCCGTGCTGGTGCTTAATTTTGGTTAAAATCTGGGGATGTGCTGAATCAGGATATGATCTTCTCCTCTTTATAATCGTTGTAAGATATCCGAGCCCATGCTCCGAACACCACCCTGGTTAGCACAGAAAAGCCGCCGATCCGTGATATATCATATGCGGTGTTACTACTCGGGTAAATAGATGTCGTGTAAAAGCTCTTATTATAATAATCTGAATATCCATTGATAGATTGATGCCCATGCCGATTACCATGCCCGAAAACCCTGTTAACGAGATAGTTTACCATAATGCTCCCCATAAAGGTTGAAATCCTTGCTCCTAAGCCAGTCAACCAGACCTTGATATGGATGTGCGCAAACTTTCGTTCCTAATAAGTACACAGAAAGGAAATAATACTAACCCAATCACTAAGCCTTGACTGTGATATTGTGAACAGCACCGCCCGTCAAACTCAAAGTAACATATCCATCGTCCTCGTTGAACTGCGCATCGAAAGCTTGAGGTCCATTATTCCATGCAACCTCCCCATCAACATCAATCTCAAGTGCGGTGCCGAGTTTTGCAGCCGTACCAAATCGGACCGGTAGACTTACTGACCCAGATGTGCCAACAGGAGCGGCTACACTCAATACAAACCATCCACTGGTGGTAAAACTCCAATCCACATCGATTGGACCTTTCGGAGTGGGAATTCGACCCTTAGCCCATCTGAGATCACCCGGATATGGTTTTATACTCCAGGTCAAAAATCCAGGTCCAGTAGGGATAACACCCAAAACGTAATTACTCATTGCAGGCACAATACCCGTGCTCCAGCCATGAGCCATGCTTGTGAATCCTTGTTCGTATGCACTTCCATTCGGTCCAATGCCTTCCCACATGGTAACTTTGGGGTCGTTGTTGGCCATCCAACCATATAATCTTCTGATTTCATCAAAGGCGCTTGCTACGAGGTTGGTTTTGAATCGAGCGGATATTTCGAAGAAAGATATAAATGCATATACACGCTGCGAGAAGTCTGCTTGCAGAACGTCATTGTCGTAGAATGAGTTGCCGTAAAAGCGCTTATTGGCGGTATTGAGGTAATTGAGAATAGAATTGGAGCGGGAGGAATTGGTAACCCCTGCGAGGATAGATATGGAATTTCCATCCTGAGCGTGGGTGTTGCAAAATTCTCCGCCGACACAGGGAGGTCCTTGTCCGTCGAAGAAGGCTCCGACTGAGTTGTCGAAGTTATTGGAATTGAGTGCATCAGATACAACTTTAGCACGAGCGAGCCAGCGAGAAGCATCGGAGGATTGACCTTGGGATTTGGCAATTACAGCAGCGTTCTCTAGGGCAAGGACATAAAGGGCGCTGTAATATGTGACTGGACCATAGCGAGGAAGGAATGCATAATCGCCATAACTTCCTGATATACCAACTCCTTTCCAGATGAGGTTTGTACCGTTATCTGTGACAGATGGGTAGAAGACGTCCAGGACTTTGACGATATTGGGGTAGTATTTTGTAATGTAATCGTTGTCGCCGGTATACATCAACAAATCGTAACTACTGACGATCCACCACAATGGATAATCGAGGAGGTGAAGATCATAGCTGGCACTATTGAAAAGTAAGCATGTGCCTGTGAACGATAGTTGAGATAACCCCTTACATTGATGCAGGAGGAATCCATCCATCAGCACGTTGATGATCTCCCAAATCTGCAAGAATATTACGAGATGCTTCGGGTGCATTATGCGACAGGAATAATGTCTTTCCAGCAACAGCAACATCACCGACATAGGGATCTCTATCTCGCTTTGCTCCATCCAAAAGAACTAATTTGCCGTCGAGAGTCGGACTAAAAGCACCTCGAGGGTCGCTAGAATTTTGTCGAAAAATGTCGGTTGCGATGTCATTAGTGTATACACCATCATACCACCACTGATTAACTTCTTCATCAGAACTTTCGAACCAACCAGTAAAAGTATTGGGGGTACCATGAACACCTGAAAACTTCAAGCTCAAGTGATCGATGGATACTTTTCCGTATGGAGCTGTGTGTGGTGAATCTGCGGCTAACGCATCGAGATAGATTTTGACGTATCGAAAACCATGAAGGCCATCAGCACACACTTGTGTACCATATTGACACCCGTAGACTTCGGTCCAGGTATAAGGTTGGCTATCAACAGCAATCTGAATAGTCTGTGGTTAGAAACAAGTAGTGGTCATAGAGAAGCACAGTTAATGTCGTACCTGATCAGATCCTGGGGTGATTGTTTCGCCCTAACTTACTGTCAGTATAAGCTATACTTTGGGAGCATCTGAAGTATACTAACACTGTTTGATCGTGAAAAGTCACTAATATCGGAAAGATATGTCAAAGTTTCGGAGAAAGCAAGTCGAATACCGGGGGGAGTTGCTGAAGCACCAGCAAAGTTGATGCTCAAGTATCCCACTGTGTTTTGTCCAAAGTCAACAATAATAGAAGGAATGTCATTTGATCCATTAGCTCTAGTTAATGTGGTAACCCCACCACCTTGTCGAAGGAGAGCGTTAGGATTGTTGACATTTCCGGAGGTATTAACAATGCTTTGAGGTGAGATGATATTGGAGGAAGGAGCTCTGACATATTTTTGCCAGCTTGGAACAGCACTGGCGTCCTGTCTGGAGGAGAACCGGTTCTGAATGGGATATTTGAAGTCTTTCGGTGCAGAAGAGTTCACTAAGGCTGTAAAAACGAAGATGCAAAGAAACAACGATGCTAAGTGGGACCCTCTGAAGAGGGAAGGGCGGTAGAACATGGCGCCAACGAAGAAAAAAAAGATAGAAGTAGAATTATGGTGTCCACTTGGAAAGAAATGTAGAGGAATGATCGTAACTGTACCTTCGGGCCCAGGCTCATACTCTTATATGGGAACACGGCCTCCGTTGAGATGATATCATTTCCTTTTCTTGATCTCGTCCATGATACTCAATAACCCGAGATACCGAATTCTAACATTTTGATATTAAACCATTGCCTGTAGGTTCCTCCGCATATTGGCGTCTGGGGTAATTGAGCTTCTTTGAGTGAATAGGGGGGCACTAATAAAGACATAATATGAACCCATGTAGATAATTATGGCGACAAACCCCATGATCAGCAGGCACCAATGCTACCTAGGTAAGCATAACGAATTTTAATGCCAAACTTAATCCTGACGTTGAATATGCCTGAAGGAATGACCATCACCAAAAACACAAAAGGCAGCACCGGATCGGATCATTTGTGAGACAGTCAAGATCGAAAGAACGCGCGCGTCTAAAATGTTTTCAGGTAATGTCATAACGAAATGCGCGTGAGGCGCCTCGCGTGCTTGATAAATTCGCCGAAGTCCCGACACCACCTACCTTTTTCTCAAATATCCGTGGACATCCTATAGAAGAGAGAAATGGTCAATAATTTCTTCCAATAGTTCTTTTTAAAACTACAACCACATCGGAGATGAGTATAATGTAGAGTTCGGGTTTTACTCTCGCGAGTGCAGTGAATCGCCTTTTTAAGCCAGTGTTTGCAAAGTTACACCAGGATGAACGTCGGGTAAACGGGTACGTACCGAGGTCAGCCGTCAAACGTTCAACGGTCAAAACATATGCAGCTTCATAGTCATGTTAAAGAGATTCTCACCTCAATAATTTCTTGTGTGTGGGTGCTATAAAAAATGATTCAGTCATATGAGATAAAGTGCAGCAGTTCAATCGCTCTTGCAGATGCATCAATTTCAATTAATTTCCCTTTAATTTTTGGCATTCCAATGTTGAACGATTGCTGGGTTTTGAGCTGAAATATTAAGATTATCTGGATGCTGTGTTTTGGAATAGAGTCAGCCTGAGAAATCGCTCAAGTGAAGGACGGAAAAGGCTGGCAATGTCTCTCTTGGAAGCAGAGCGGAGGAAATGAAAGAAGATTGCATGTGCAGCTTGAAGCTGACTTTCTTCGTTTGATTTAAAGTTTTAGTCAATTGAGAAGTGTAGCAAGCAGTTTTAGTTTCCCAGTCTTGTGTCTTTTTGAGTTGTGAAGGGTTCGATATCATTGCTTTAGGAATGAAGTGAAGCAAACTCGGTAGTGACATCTGCAAGTGTACTCGTGTTCGCAAATGTACGATATGAAGACGTATAGTATAGTCAATGATAATTTACAATATGAATCTCATATGCAGTATGTCTGGGTCCTGTAACAGACTTCTAACACTCATTCGAAGTCTAACATGCCTCACTTCTCACTCCCACACGAACTTTGGCAATTGATGCTTTCTCTGACCCATTATCACCAATTAGATTCACGAATCCACCGCATGTCACTACATGGATGCAGTCACTATCGTTTTCGCCTCTCCCGAAAGATAGAGCAGTTGGACCTGCCGTTTCTTTTTTACCAGTCCACCTAAGATCATGAGCCTTTCCCCCTTTTGTGGCTCAGTCGCAATTTGAACAAACTTCAAAACTGTATGTGCAGAGTTTGTAGCTACATGAGCGCTCCCTTCACAATCGAATGCAAAGTCATCCCCGATTAACTGATTGACTACAACTTCCAGACTACCACTCTTGTACTTCCCAGTTCCATCTACTTGCATTTTTACGAGCGTCCCATGATCAGTGACCGTTCCGAAAATCTGGCCTCTAAATTACTCTAGGCCATTGAGTGCAGGCCATGGTGGCCGAGTTGTGACCTTGCCTAATCTTTCGTCCTCAATCCAGATCGAGACTTTTCTTGTTTGTAAATCGAATGCAAAGATTTTACATTGCTGGGATTCAGCCATCAATAGAGTTGACGTCTCAGGAACCATCGTAGAACCATTGAGCCATCCTGCTCCTGGTATATTCGCGAGCTTTTCCACCACAGTTGTAGCTGCTCCACGAGACGGATCGAACCCACGGAAGTCCAAGGGGTATACAGCCTAAGTATCAGTTTTCCCATGCACACCAGAGAATGCATTAAATAAATCGACAATTTTCGGATGCTCTATAATCGCTTCTGCGTGATTCCTTGAGCCATAGATACCAGTTTCTTCATCGTCCTCAGGAGGTGCTTCGGCAGTTTTGAAATCATGTATCAACTGAATAGTAGACTCGGGATCGTTATGTCTGGGATCAACATGGAATATCTGGCCGACAATCATATTCATGACGAAGAGCGTTTCATTTGACCGTACGGCACTATTCTCAAGGAGATAGCCAAGAAGGAAGCCGATTCCATAAGGTGGCAAGTTGGGAACTCCTTCTAAATGTTCTTCCACGGTTTTGATAATGATGAGATTAGGTAGGGCTATATTAGTGAATGAAACAAAACACGAGGAAGAATGAATCTCTAATATAACTATCTGATGGTAGAAAGCAAAGTTGTAATTTGTCATCTGATGGCACTGGCGTGGAAATCATGCACTCTTTTCGACTTTAGGAATGTATATAATAAAGGGCAGTAGATAACCATTGATCAACACCAATTGTATCCAAAGACTAATACCAAACAAGAATGTCCCGAAAATGGAGAAGATGGAAGGGCCATGGCAACCGTCATCATTTGCTTAGGGTCATCGCGCGCCTAAGACTCCCGGAACATGCTGTGTCCAGACGCAATTCTTTCGATACTTGAAGACATGTTGCTGGGTCCAGACATAACAGTCGAGAGTTTGTATCAAAAGAACTTGAGCACGGTGATAGGTTCTGAGATTTTCTCTCGCGTGAAAAATCGCTCTTTCATGACCTAATAAGACGTGGTTGAAGGCGCTGCTGGTAGGAGCTGAAAGACCCCGCATTTAGTGTTGAATTTGGTCTCACATAATGATGACCCCCGTGATACTTTTCAGCCCTGTCAGTAGATTGACTTTCTTAGGTTTAAAAAAGGCGTGCCCACCGTGCCGCTGTTTGCGTGCTAGAACCACACATTAATTTCCATGAGACCTAGAGTGCAGCAATCAAGAGCAGCGCAAAAGCGTTAGTGAGGTACCGCCTTACCTTAATTTTAGCTTCTCTTTTGGAGGTTATACCATTAACTCTTCTACTCAGCATGACAAGTAAACTTTTTTGGTGTCGAGAATTTTGTGCATAGACCGACTTCTTTCGTCTCATCCATTCCACGTGTGATGGCAGATGCGCTTACCTCACGCCCAGCACAAAGCATACGAGATAAGCAGAAGGTCTTGAGTTTGGGGCATATTTATCGTGATTCGAGGTGTTGCGATTGTCCTGGTGCAGAAATCTGAACCATTTAAGCTCGTATCGTGCCGCGATTCAAAGCCGGCGAGCCGTCCATGGTCAATGTCAAGGCTCAACAGTGGGTGCGTGAATTTGTAAGACTCTTTCGTAAGTGCGAAAGATCATAGTAATCTGAATATCATTTAATCTTGATAAAAGTCTATAATCTGATGACTTGGTGTAGAGTTAAGATTTCCATGGAGCCTTAAAAGGTTTTAAGACAATGGTTTGAAAGCTATTCTAAAATCCGAGGTTCTTATTGCCTGACGAATTCGTGAATCTCATGATGGATGGCTTTTTCAAAAAGGGAGAATTACAACTCGAGTATGTTATGAAATGACAATTAAGCAGAATGCTCTCATTCACCAACGACCCGGCGAGTTGTGCTCTATAGAGTTTGTTTAAGATCGTGTTTGCAAAAATATAATGATGGTGGCTCGGGGGTGGGTGGATACATACAGGCACTGCTAGTCTCGGTAGTTGAGCACTACAAAATTGTATCAAGAAATATGAAAAGAAATGTAGTTCCCCATCTTCTACTACCTTGACTCTTTTCCAGCCTTAAACATACTTTTACTTTTCTTTGCTCCCTGAACATTTGCGCCATCTCAATGAATTCTATTGAAATGCTGAGTCTGTGCCTTTTTTTTATCATATAGAAAATACGCTCGACGAACTTGCCCATAATTAAAGTTGGTATCTGAACTCTAAGCAGATCTAATCGGCGAAGAAAGACCATACCGCAAAGCATTAATCAGCCACCAAAACGCAAAAGGGCATTGTGGCCGTTAAGATGAATGGTCGAGTAAATAATGTGCAGGTTAAAAGATACTCGCAACATTCCCCTTGCATGTAAGTTCATATAGATGCTGCAACGAAATAGCACAATGTACACTAATTTCTAGTTTCATTCGAGGAGATAATTGCGCCGCAGCCAGCCTTCTCAATTCTTACTCTCACTCTCACTCTCACTCTCACAATATCAAAGCTCAAATGCCATGTCATATCATCTGATGGTATAACTCGTTGATCCCCCTACTCGGCTCTGGAGTCTGAAGAATAACAATTAACACATATAATGCATCAAAGTTCCCCACTATCGAGGAAAGCTCTTTGTTGTAAGTTGATTGTTGTCAAATCAAGATTTCTATGCTGTGGTTGTGCAACTAAGAAGCGAGAAACACCACCAAGCAAGCCCCTTCATTATGAGGTCGTTTACCAGTATTCTAGGCTCTTTAGGCCTCAAGAAAAGCTCAGAAGATTCGAAACCAACAGAATTCCAAAAAGCAAAACATTCACAAAAACAAGTTACGTTCAATGATCTACCTAGGGATCAGCTTCCTCCTCGTTGTCTATTCGGTGAAGTTGTGACAGCGTCAGACTTCAGAGTACAACCCTGTTTAAATTTAATACAAGAAGAGAATGAAGCAATTGGTGATGGCAATGGCAACAATGACGTAGCGATTACTTGTGCGGGTCGAGACTTGGATCTGACTGAGAAAGAACATGAACAAGACTTTTATTCACCAGCTCAATTACGGATGAGTATACAATCTCCAAGATATCCACCTCAAGTTCAACATAACAACGACATTAATAATTATCGCATTCGTCGTGTGCCTTCAAATTATTCGATTAGTATATATTCTTCCGACGAACGCAGTACGGTCAGTAAAATGGAGACTTTACGAAAGAGAGCTAAAACCCCGGTCTTCTTCATTGGCCAATTGGAAAAGAAAGCGATGGAACACAACTCTTCAGAATGGCTTGCCAACCAATATCAGAAAACATTACCGCGACGACGTATATCCTCTTCTTGGAACCTCGATCTACCTGTCATTCCGGTCAAGAGAACATTAAGGAAAATAAAATCTCAAGAGAGTCTTCGAGATCTTTGCAGACGTAATGCGACATCACCTTCTGAAGCCTCGGATTGCGAAACTCTTGTTGGATCTGACGGAAGGGGTTCGCCGCATAGTTCGATATTCAAAGGGGATGAAAAGAATAACAAATTCAGGGTCGAGAACGTATTACCCCCAACATGTGAACCATTAGACAAGACATCGGATCAGGATATTAGCCTACAGATTTGCTTGAATCTCCTGACAAGCAAGTTATCAACATCACTCCAGCAAGATTATCATACCACGGAACAAGGAAACAAAGCATCAAGCTTAGAAATCTTGCTTATGATTGAGGCTTACGAATCAATTCGAAAGGGTCTACGAGCAGGCTCACGTGATTTACACGTGACATCTGCGGCTGAGACCGCACTTGATCAATGGATTCAGGCTCTGTATACCATATATGAGGACTGCCATGGAATCGATCACAGAAGGAATGCCTTGAACAAACGTACATAGGACTCACGGGGATTGCCGAAGCCAATTCGGACTTTGCTGAACATCAAAACGGGTGTGCAATGCTTAAAGGGTCTGGACATCCAGATTCTAGCCCAATAAATGTTTCCGTTTTTCACTCTAGCTCGAACTTCCGAGACAGATGCGGCTTCATTGAAACTTTGCTGGATGTCGAAACATTGACACAGTCTTCGAACGATCAATAATTGAAAGAAATTCGGCCGGGCCACGATGACTTGGACACGACAAGGAAGTGACAAGAAGGGCCAATAAGATCATGCCTGTAGTAGCAGAAGGCTCATAGGCGATATGAATTTCTTTTTGAGGAAAATCTTTGAGAACGAATCTAGGAATACGCTCTCGATACCGGCTGATTAACCCCGCTCATGTAGTGTTATGAGAAAGAAGTTAAGCTGAAGAATATTTGAGTGGGGGAAAGTGATAAGAGTCTCTGGGTATAATCGAAGGTTGCAAAAGAGATCGATGAGATACAAGCTGCAGAGTTCGTGATGATGATGACGAGCTGGAGGAAAGGGGAAGGAAAAGAGGGGTGAGAGATCGAAGGAAAAAATTCCTTGGCTCCTCCTACGATGAACTTACGTATGGGTTATGATTGTGGAAAGAGTGTATGGCTAATGGGTAACGATTAATGATTAATGAATAATGAATAATTGTTTCCCTTGATTTGGGTTTATTGTCTTCAAATTTGGTGACTTCACTTTGAAAATCCGACGTAACTTTGCAGCCAATAGACGGTATTGCTGAACGGTTAAAACATTTGGGCAAGTTGCCAATTCACATTTTTAATTCCAGAACATCAGGTATGTTTCGATTATCTTCTCAGGTCCTTCATAGTTCAGCGCCCAGTGAACTCAGTTTCAAATTTGAATTCTGATTGTGTATCACCAGCACAGTTGCAATTCACAAGCATTTCAGTCACATTCAAAGCAAACAAATAATTTGAAAAATCTCCATTTTCATGAACCGTTCTGGAAAACCGTCAGAACAAAAGGGTATCCATTTGAACTCCTCATCTCCCAATCCCCAAACTCCAGATCCCACATCTAGACAGAAACAAAGCGTAAGCCACTTCCTCCCATTAGAGCTGAATCCACCTTGGGAGAGCCACTCCCAAAGCTTCCTGGCCCTCTCCGGGTTCTGACTATCTCGGTCTCGCACTCGTTTTTGTTCGTAACTTTTCACAGTAGAAAGCTCCCATTCAATAGCAATATGCTGCTTCTTGAATACCATCAATCAGATCAAAAATCCGTTCACATAACTAGAGCTCCACCATCATACACCACCATACACCACCAACCACCATAATACAAAGCACGAAAAACAAAGAACTCAAAACACCCTCAATCATCTACTCGAGCATGTCCTCCACCCTCATCATACGGGAACTAACCTGGGTTCCTTCCAAAGCGTTGCAACACATATGCGAGTTTTCGTGCATCCGAACCTAGGAAATAAAAATCAGACGCATCGGAGGCGGACGTGCCCCCAATGGAAACCACTCAAACAATGCTTCCGAACTTAGGAAATAAAATCAGACGCATCTGGGGCGGACGTGCCTCAGATGGAACTATCTACTGGTACTTGCTTGCAATCTTTCGAGTTTCTTTTTTGTGCTTTGTACCTCTGTTTTTTTGGTTGTTCTCTTCGTTTCCTTCAATGTTGGCCTCTCATGTTTCACCTCTCCTCTAGAAAATGACTGATCTGCAGCACGTGGTGATTTCGTGACAGAATCTTTTTGGAGCCAGTCTAGGATGAAGTAAGCGGAGTCGGTAAAGAGGTCTCAGCGATTGCTGATGCGGAGGAGAAGGGAAGTTAAAGAGAAGAGAGAGGAATTCTGAGGTATCAATACCGAGATACGCGTCCGTTGTAGTCGTCACTACTTGTCGATGTGGACAAGAACCGGTGAGAATCGATGAAGTGGGGTTCTCGGAGAGAACTTGGTTGGATGGGCCGGAATCCAGGTGGGTATCAAGAACGTATGGGTTGAAAGGTGAGGTTGATACCAGACCGGTGAGAGAGGGCGCACTGGTTTTTTTTTTTTGAAGGTTTTCTCTTTTGAACTGTTTTTGTGATTATTTTGTGTGTCTGTGGTACTTTTCGACGCCAGTGATTTGATCATGGTGGAACTGTTGATTGTGGGACGCCGATAGACCGAGATTGTGCAGTCCCTTTCAGGACGAAACCGAATGAATGGGTGCGGAGGTACTTTACTAGATCGCTGCCGCTGGTGAAGGGAAAAATCTGAGATACGATCCTGTCTGGACGAAGTCGAGTGTGCGGGGGAACAAAGGATTGCCGCCGCTGAAGGAAAGTCGAAATTGAGATACGATCCTGGAAGGACGAAGCCGGAGTGATCCGAATGCTGCTGAGGGTACTTTACTAGATCGCCACCGCAGTATGAAGAAACAAAAAAATCGATCTTTGGAGGGGAGGTGTTTCTTTCCTGAACTGTCTTCGTGAGATTCAGTCCCTGGTTCTTACGCCAGTGCCAGCACTGGGGTGAGATGTTGGTGTTGGCATTGTTGAAATGAATGCCGATAAGGATCAGACACTAAGAAGGAAATTGTCAGCATTGCCGCAAGTGAGTGAATAAGAAAACTTCTACGTTGCGAAGTCAAGAGGGGTGTTGATACTCACAAGGATCCTAATGGCGGAGGAGTGTCCGAAAAGAAGGTAGTATTGATGGAGGCGTAATGGCCATCATAGACATTGCTGAAAGATGCTAATGCCAATAATATGATAAGCCCTTGATATGAAGAAGGATCTCGTAATCTTTGGAGCTGGTGCGCAAGTCGAGAAGGTGTCGATGGTGCGAAGTTAAGAGAGGTGATAATAATCCCAACGTTCCTGGTGGTGAAGGAAGTGCCTGAAGGGAAGTTAATATTAATGAAGGTGTAATGGCCATCATGGATTTTGCTACAGAGGCAAACATCGGAAATTATGGTGGTTATGGTGGTTATGGTGGTTATGTTTAGGTGGATAGACGCTGGCGCGAAAATCCAATATTAGTAATGCACATCCCAGACAGACGAGTGCGTAAGTCGAAAATAAATCGATATCGAGAAGGGTTATGATATCGACGAGTAAGTTAAGTGGTGAGGTTCCCCGTGGTTATATGGAGACGGAGTCATGTGGCCAGAGGACTCTCAATAAGGTTTCGCTGATGACGAACAATGGAAGGTCTTCGAAATAGAGAGATGGTTAGACCGACAGGTGTCATGCTGGAGTTAGAGAGATTCCGTAAAAGTCCAGGACCGGTTATGGCCAGGGATCGAAAGCCAAAAAAGATGAAGGGACAAGGTCGAGATGAAGAAGGGTAAGCTTTTTTTTGGTGATTGTTTTCTGTTATCAACTTTGTTTAAGTTTTTCTGTTTTCTTTGAGAAATTACTAATCCATGATGGCAATACACATAGCAGTCGCCGCTGCTCATGGTAAAATTCCGAATAGACCTTTTCAGGCCTGAAATGCGTGAAGTTCCACCGCAAAACTTTGATGGTGGCAGTGAGCCGTACCGGTAAAACGATCTTGAACAGAATGAAGACACCAGGTAGAGGAGAGTATTTTACCAATGCAAGTATGATCTAGTGCGAAACCGAGTCCAACCGGTATAAGGAGTCGATGACGGTGAAGAGTGAAGGACTAAGAACAAAAGCTTCTTGCATGGAACCCATCAAGAACCCAATATCCACCATGAGCGTTCCAAACTCAAGGCAGCGTAGTTCTTTCAGGTACAGGAAACCATTGTTCATTCATCGCTGCACCCACAACGTCTGAATGTTGAGAAGTGACGAGTGTTGTAGATGAGTTGGTTGGTGATTAGGCAAGCTGGGATTTCGACTTATTTCTTTTGATCAGCTGGCTTGTCTTCTTCAGTATTCTCCTCCTTAGGGGAAGCACCGACAGAAGGGTTTGCTGCCGATAAGGCTGGAATTCCGAATGAATGTGTAGACTCAAAGCGAACAGAAGATCTAGCGGTGCATATGGCACCAAAGATTGTCGCAGCTCCAAATTGAACTGCAGCTCCAGAGCGAGTGATGACAGTCGGTAATAAGGGTGCTGCTGTAGTGCGCTCACTTGCTGAAGATGAAGTTGAAGGTGCTGGAGCAGTGATACCAATCTGTGGTGAAAGAACACTCGGGGATCCCCAGCCTGGATGTGCAGGCTTGAATTCAATGGGAAAATGAGGCGCAGCAGTACTGCTAGGACCAGCCAATTCAGTTTTTGTTGACTTGACCTTTTTGGCAGGGCTCGATGCGCTGACAGGACTTTCCTTTCTCTTCTTGGAAGATGAGGGAGAAGGAGAGGAAGAGGAGTGGGGTTCAGAAGGGGCAGAAGTAGTCTTTTCAACTTCTGCAGCAGGATGAGGGACAGTGGTCTTTTCAACTGCCGCAGCAGGATGAGGAGGTTCCTGATGATCCTGTGGGTTTTCATTGTCATAATACTCATCATCGGAAAAGTCCGAGGGACCTTCATGCTGAGATTCATCCTCCTGGTCGTTCTCTTCATAATCCTCATTGCCAGAGAGGACTGGCGAACCGACCTGTTGTGATTCATCTTGGGTATTGATGACAGCTTCTGCTGGTTCATAAGAAGCGCTATCACTATCGCGCTCTTCTTCATCACTGGGACTAGGTGGTAGCTCATCTGCAAGAGCAACGGATCTATCACGATCAAACTCGGGATGTTCCTCGGCGAGAACGTGGGCACCACAGTGGCGACAGGTATTTCCGTTATAACCACGATCATGACGACACTCCCACCTAGATGATTCCTGAAACCCGGCGAAACTAGAAGCTCGCTGAGACTGTTGAGTGCCAGCAGCTCCAGCAGGTGGAGCTGCTGGGGGAGGAATATTATTAGCGTCATCGTCATCATCGGCGTAGACCTCATCAAAGTTGTCACGATTGTTGTCAGGAGTCGGTGTGCGATAACGACGGGAGCGATCTTCCTGAGTATGTTCCTCATGATTATGATTTTCGTGAGACGTACTTCCTTGAGCTGGATCGACTGGTTCGATGCTCTCAACTACCTCATCCGCAGCGAAAAAATTAGCTGCCTCCTGAAACTGACCCTCATATTCCGCGGTCTTCGCCGCTTCGACCCTAAGAAGTTCCCTGGTTTTCTCGAATTTTTCTTGATCTGAGGTGAACAGAGGAACTTGTGCATTGAGAACATCGACGGCGTTACAATACTTGTCAAGGGTGTCTTTGAGCTCCCTGTTTTTCTGGGCGAGTCGGTCGTTCTCTCTCTTTAGGTCGTCATTCAATTTAGAAAGTCGGCCTCTGTCACTGCGGAGCTGATGAGTTAACTCTAAGTGGTTTTTCAAGTTCTCTCTGATTCTGTTGTACTCCTTCCGAGCTTCCTCTTCCTTGATCTCAATAGCATCTCTCTCTTCTACTGCAGCTTCGAGCTCCCTCTGGTACATATCTCGACTTTCACGTAGTTCAGCTTCCAGCCGAGCCATCTTTTGAACCTTGGCAGCAAGCTCATCGCACTTGCACTTATTGGTAATGCTGATCTTTGGAGCACCAAGTTCCTCCTTAGCAACCTCGAGATCGCTCGAAGAGCAACCCTGAGGTGCAGCAGGAAGATGGGCTTCTGCCTCGTTGGCAGTCAAAGGGTCTGCAGAATCGGCAGCGGGGTGAGGTGAAGGTTGCTCGACGACAGTCTCATCATCGGCTTGGCCAGCTGTAACAGTGACCGCAGAAATTGGAGCCTTTGCCGTGGCACCATTTTCTTCGCCGTCCAAAACTGGAGCGGCGGCCGTGGTTTTGACGGCCTTTGGAGAGGGTGTGGGAGTTGATGCAGCAGCAGCATCAAGACTCTCCTTGGGAGCACCACCAGCAGTGCCAAATACTGGTGTGTCTTCAAGACCAAGGATGACCCTCTCCACTTGAGGATAAGTTGTTGTAGCCAAATCAGGTTGACCACTTGTTGGGCGGGAACGAGGGGCATCACTCCTCTCGACCCGTGTTCGCTTCATAGGCTCAGAAGTTTGCGCGCCAACGCCTTCGTCACCACTGATAGTCTTTGCGCTTCTCTTTCTCTTGGAAGGAGATAGCGGCGCCAAGGCTGGAACCATGGCATCGGAAAGCTGCAAATTTGGAGTCAGCAAGGGTCATGATTGAATCGAAAGTAGTGATCAAATAAGACGATGCCACGGCAATACCTTGTTGGATTGTGTGCGGAATAAAAAGATGGGCCAAAATCAAAGTGAAGACTTGAAGCTTCCAGAAACAAAAAATATTCGCATTGATGAAATGTGAAGTGGGGTTCAAAATAGGGGAACATGATCGGGTATCAAGGAATGTGAAATTGGTGAACAGATGGGACTTACTGCATTTTTAGCACCAGCTAGAGCTTCCTTTCTAGGTGCTAGCATGTTTGCGACCGGTGCGACATTCGTGTAGGTGTTTGCGGCGGAGGAGGCTTGGTTTGGATCGGCCGGTGCCTTCTTGGAAGGAGACTTGGATCTTGTGATGGCAGGCATGATTCTTGAAGATAAGGATTGAGGATTGATGGTAAAAAGAGGAGGTTCTGCAACTACAGTCGCAGTTTGAAGTAATTAAGAAGTACTTTTGAGAGACGAAGTGCTCTGAAGAAGTGCTTGGCAAAGTTGTTGTTATGTGGTGTTGGGTAACACGTAAAGTAAAAAAAAGACTTGTGTGTGGACGGGACGTGTTGAGAAGCAGTCCTTTTTCAAGAGAGAAGAGTTTTCTTATGGCAAAGTAAAAGAGAAGTTGTAAAAGAGTCAGAATACGTGAGGTGTGTTGTTAATGGTGTACCGGCTGGATTGATTGAATGTTTGCAAGTAGTACGACTGTTGTCAAGTATGAACGACGCTTTGAATGGATTCTGAAAATTTGGATGTAAAGAGGATGGAGGTTGAGAGAAATTCTGAGAAAGAAGAGGACGGTTTTGTGCGCAAAAAGTACTCGCTAATTAATCTTGATGAAAACTCTGATCGGGCTGAGCGTCAGCAGTATTCACTTTTTGAGGCTTTTGATAATATATATTCACTTCAAACAATCATTTCGCTTCGTTTTCTGCGGCGGTCTCCCAACAAAAACTCAATAACTGACCGTGAAAGATCCGGTGCTCTCATATTATTAATCTAATAACTTTACTCATGGTAATAAGATATTGCCTCACAATAAAGAATACTTCAATTCGCTATTGAGAGGTGACTTGACTCTTGGTGGTGGTGAAGGAGGAGGAGCTTGATAGAAAGTGAAAGCCGCGGAAAATCCCGCCGTGTCTTTCATCTCGGAGACAATCGAGAATTCAAGTACATAATTCACTTATATGACTCAACAAATCCTTTATTACAGGAAATTGCATCTATGTATGGCGCCCGTACCGGTGCCTGGTTCATATGGTATGAACACGTTTCCCAGTGTGTTGATATCAGTGGTTAATGGGTAATCAGAGGCGGGATATGATTTACTCCGCCTTCATTGCCCATTATTACTTAGTAATAGACAGTGAATAATTCTTGTAGCACTGATAGACTTGAACACTAAGGCATGGATACAGCCTCTTGTTATGGTGAAGTCATGAAGCTGGGGACACGTTTTGATAGAGAGGCATAGTGGTGATTAGATTTACATTGTCATAGTGATTTAATTGTAAGAGGGTTCAATACTGAAGCTCCAGGTAGGAATCGAGAGTTGTTCTATGGGATGTGGTTAGAGGATATATCTAGACAGCAACAAGATAGGTGAGATTATTCATGGCATAGTACAGAATTCTGGATATAAATCAACATTATATGCAAAATCTAATCTGCAGCAAGTACTAAATACAAATTCTACCATCGGTGGCATTCTTCTCTCAACCGTGGACATAAAAAACCATAAACATGTGGAACCATACAAAAGTGACCAAAACATGTGTTGCCACAGCCGTCATCATGAGCCTGGAATTGGTACACAGACTTAGATAACCATCTAAAACATATCAGGCTATCCTTCACCGCAGATTTCTTCATGCAAACTACAAATATCCACCACCGTTTGTGGGTACCAGTGTAGATTCGGGGAAAACACGCCTTTGGACCGTGACACATATCAACCCTAAGAAGGAGGACGTGCAAATATAAGGTATCTTAGACCATAGACCTTGAAATTGGGTGCTGCGAACAGCAATATCGAGTCTTGAAACCAACCCAGAATATCGTCAATGTATGTTGGAGTCGATCGGGTATCTTACTCCTGATATCAAAGCCGGACGTGGCCATGAGATAGGTAGAAGGATGTCTAAAATGTTGAGACGTCAAACGGAACAGAGCCGACAATGAGAATGATTTGACAGGAAGATCGGGCTGTGAGATCGGGCTGTGATATTTGATTGATGCTGAATCCAAGGCGTGTAATTATATTCTGTGTAATAAAGTTGAGGTCGAGAGATTGACCGGAACAAAGTACCGAGTAAGTGTGGTTTGGGATCACGGACAGGATAAAGAGTCTAAAGGTGCTTCAAGTCTTTGTTAAGACGTCTCCGTTCAAAGCTTAAAGGCACCCAAAGATTCAACTCGTGTCAGCACGATCGACTATGCCGCAGGTAACTGTGTCTTCTTTGTGATGAGTCTCTTCGTATGGTTTGTCGATATTGAGCTTTCAGCAGACAGGGACCGAAATTTTGGAATCATTAATCTGCCTATTAGAGCTGAATCCACCTTAGGAGAGCCACTTCTAAGGTTTCCTGGCTCCCTCTGTGCAGGTTGAATTTTTCCTCGTAATCGATCGTCTTGCTTCGTTGCTCGGGCGGTTCGCGTCATATGTGAGGCATCTTGATCGAATGGACGAACTACCGCCTGTGGATATCTTCAAGTTAGTTGCTGCGCTTCATACAAGGAAGTCTAGGACAAGAAGTGGTAACTGACTTTGGATGTGTAGATGCATCTATGGAGATTCCTCAATTGGGCCAGGGAAAAGAGGTCTGTCAGGTGTATCCCACAAACGACGATTAGATTCATAGGTGTTGGGTGGGTCCGGTGACTTGGGGGTGACTGATGGTGTGGCGTATCTGAGAGGAACGGAAGAGCCTGTTCTCTGAGTTTATCACAATGTTAGCAAAAGGAAATCAAGAATAGCCTCTAGGAGACCCTAAAGGTTGCAGTGAGAATATTTTTACCTTTGGGCTTGATGACCTCGAGCCTGCGTCAGACGTTTCTTCAGGTACTTCGCTCAATCTCATATCTTCCGGAACAACTTCAATGGACTGGATAGGAACATCGTAGTCCTTGATGACATTGTTACGACGATCCTCCAAAGCTTTCTGCAACTCGGCAGCGTTTTCGTCTGCGAGCTCCTTTCGTTTTGCTGCCAGCTCCTCATCTGTAAATAGTGGTTTTTCGGGATTGACAGATATAAATTCAGGAGACTAGGCAAAGTTAGCCGAAGCGTTAATCCCTCAAGATGAGGGAGATCTTACTTTTCGACCCTCATACAATACATAAGAAGCCTGGTTGATGTCGATGGCTTTAAGTGTTTTGTATTTGGCTTCAAGTGTATCGTATTTCTCTTGCAATTCAGCCAGCTCTGTTTCCTGTATTGCTACAACAGTACACTGCTCTTCAAATTCAACCTTGACTGCTTCGTGTTCGGCTTCGAGGTTTTTATTTTTCACTTGTAACTCAGTCGTGACTGTCTCAAGCTTGACTGCAAGAATCTTGTATTTTTCTTGCAAAATGCTATAACTTTCGAGACCGCAAGAGGATCTTTCTCTCCAATATTCGGCATCTAAACGGTGCTTCTCAATTATGTCTTTAAGCTCTTCCTCACGAGCAACAGTCTCGATGTCGAGCTCTTCTCTGACCTCAAGCTTGATTTTCAATGCCAGTATTTCAGCATCTTTCTGCTGAAGGAGTTGTTTGAGACGCTCATAATCTTGCTCCTTCGAAATATCTTGGGAAGCTGTGGTTGTGGTATTCTGGATGACTGGGTCAACCATGTGATGATCATTGGTAGCAGGTGAAGGAGAAGGATGGCCGCGAGGATCATCAGATAGACCAACAGGGATATGACCAGTGGAGCCTTCGACGCGCGAAGTTGTAAACAAGATTGACTTAGATTTGCCTTTAATGTTTTGTTGGGCATGGTCGGTTGAATTTTTGGAAGGTGTAATCGGAACTTCCTCGCGTCTAGTACGCTTGGCGGGTTGATGCTTATCGTTGTTGTCGAGCTCGATGCTATGCTTGCGGGCGTCTCTTGGCGACGACGAAGTAGAAGCCTGTGTGCGGCGAAAATCTCCAGAAGCTGTATTCTTGGTAGTGAAATTCATGTTGGCAATGTGTAGAATAATCTGTGAAACAAATGTGTGATTTCGAGAATTTACTAGTAAGTAGAGGAAATTTGAAAGGTCTGTTCAAAGTTGTTGAAGATCGAATGTTTTGTTGATGTAAATCTTGGTCACTGAGATCTGTAATTTGTTACTTTGTAATTGTCGCAAGTCCAACCTTTGGAAAGTGCGAGATTATATCAAGTCATGAATTTTGAAGCTGCCGTGTCAGTTTTTAAGTGGAGCCAAAAAGCTGCGATTTGAACGCGTAAAATTAAAGACAATTAGTGAGATCTCATTTTAATCACCATATAAGTGAATTTTCGAGAATCAATCAAGTATTTTCGTAATATTGTCTGTATTTTTGAAGCCACTACCAAGTATGGTGAACAAGTCGAACCTAAGAGCTGCTCCAGTATACTCTCTGCACCCTCACAGCTACAATTTGCTGCCTCTAGGGAACCGCGGAAAACCATGAGTTCATTCGATACCACGGAAACCTTGAAAGGGTCTAGCATAAGAATCATCCAGTATAAATTCACTTCTTCAGTGACCGCAGCGCGGGAAGGATAACACCGAGCGTAGAATTTTAGAATGATTGAATGCTTCCAGATGCCCTTCCCATACAGGTACACTGTTGAGTGATACTACCTCATGATTGGAACTTTAAACTAAATAGCCAATTGTATGGTTGAATGGGTGAGCAGATGCAATCCTAATAGAAAGGTGTTCAAACACGAGCAAGCACGCTGCAGACTCATGGCTCTGATAAAAGAATTTTGCAACTTTCATGAAGGGAAGAATAATTGTGATTCCCTTGTACTTATTAACCCCTTCCATTTCACCTACAATTTTTTGTCATTCCACGACCAGAGACAGCTTCTTGGTAACAGCTGCACAGAAAATAGAGGCCCCCTTTCAAGAGAGATGATCTCAAACAAAGACAAGCAGAAGGTTCTTGATGAATAATAGTAAAAAGGGCAAATCGATTCCCTTATTAGAATATCTTACAGGCAATTGCCAGAATTCTGCAGGCATCAATGAACGATATAACGGATGAAGTGCACAGACTCTTACTTTCCCTTCTTTGGAGGGTCCGTAGTATGGAACTCGCTCCTGAGGAAGGACACAGCAGGAGAATTTCTGATGGACGTCATCGGCATTATCGTTAATGTGGTCCATTAAATAAGGCCAGTGAAAGTCAGAGCTGGGCAAAAGTGACTTCACTTTAGATCATGCTGCTTTCACAAACAAGGAAATACGAAGTCCACTCCAACAGTACTTCCATTTCCATTCAAAACCCAGTAAATAATATCATACAAATAAAGCCTTTAATCCTGATTTTTCATGGATAATAATTTTACCCAATCCACCCCAAGAATGGTAATCCTGATACACAGATCTTATTTCGTTCGTTTCTCCTGAAATAGCACCTCATAAAAATGCCGGTTGCATTCAAACAATTGCCTCACATTGCACGAGACATCCAATTGGCGGTCATAAGAGACACGCACAGCTTCCAAGCGCAACAACCGTAGTCCATGCTGCTCTCATCTCCGTCACCACCACTAGAAAAAGGATTCTTGATGAGTTCTTTCGGACCTTTGGCATCTGTTGACATTCGGCTCCTACGTGTCTCATCTTCTTCTGTTTTATCTGGAGTGTCTTCCATATATAGAGGCTCCCAGATAGGCATGTGTGAGCGACGTTCTTGACTACCAACTGAGTCCAGACGGGGCATGTGCATGGTGTTGAAAGGTGTAAGGTTTGCTTGCCGCTCCGAATTATGCGAAACCAAAGGCGAATCACGAGCCCATGGCTTAGTGGTTCGTCGAGGACATTGTCTGGCTTCTTGATATGCAGATAAGGTGGCTTTATCGTCAGAGGAAAGGGAGTTAGAGCGATGGCCTTGAAGAATCATCATCGCGAATGGCTTATTGAATCGATTTGATAGTGCGTCTTAAACAGTGACAAGCAATTGGAAATATTGACAAGAATGTGAAGCTGTTAATTGAAAGTCTTTTGGAAAAATTGATACGTTGGACCATGAAATAAAAAGTGAAGGCGATAGGAAAGAGGATCAACCTTGTTGAGAAATATTCATACCGGTTTAATAAGTGTATCTTGCAAGCGTTTGAACCAAGTATTGATTATACATGTTACCAGATATGAGGACTACCTTCAAACTTGGGACAAGAATTCAAGTGAAGTATTAGCAAAACTACCAACTTTCGGTAACGGCTATGGGCGTCCATGACTACTTTGGAAGGTGCACTACAGATGAGTCCTGCCAGATCTTATCATAAACTTCTACGCTTACTACAAGCAGGCCTTCTGTAATAGATTGAAGTGGGTCAAGCCTTCCACAATTTAAACATCAAATACTTGACATTGAAGCACGGATATGACTAATTTGATCTCCACCCACACCCATTTGACTCCACACATCTCCACCCACAAAGCACAAATAATATATACTCAAAATTCAAACCCAGCAGCAAGAACTAAATTGAATGTTTATCTTCTTGATAGCTTCTATAGTCCAATGATTAGGATTCCACCCTTCCAAGGTGGAGGTCGGCGTTCGATTCGCCGTGGTTGCATTTATTCTTTTTGACTTTTCTTGTCAAGAGTTTCCCACGCATCTATTCATTATCAAAATCTGGCCCACCCTCTCCTCCATTATTACACCCAAATACTATGTTTTGGGTGTATTCATGTCAGAAATGCTTGGATTTTCCATTCATAAATTGTGATTTGTTGGTTCGTGGCTTCGTTTTCTCGCTTGATTGCAGATGGTGGGGTACCGAAATAGGGGATGCATCTATGTGTAGAGTGACTATTCAGAGTAGGGACAATTCATACCACCTCGTTACATAGCGGTACCATCTGGAATTTCCGCTGTACAGGAACTCAGCAATAAATCATAGTTTCTGATTTCCCTAGAACGTGTCCTCCTAAGGTTTCTTTCGAAATTGACTACTTTTGAAAACTCTCAGCACCATCTGCTTCGGTGCCACCGCGGTCTTCGGCATTGGTAGCTTGTTCGTCTTGTCTTCTTATCTTATACGTACTTCTACTTGTCATAATCAGCCAAATCTAGATTCTACATATCGTGGTACTTCATCTTCTCGAATCCCGACATTCCCAATTCTGACATTGCTAGTCTCGGCATCGAAATATCTCATCTTATGTAGAACATAGTATTGCGTAAGTCATGAGGAAATACCAGGCACTTATATATTGATGATTTTAGTTAATCCCACATTCAAATAAAGTAACAAAGGTATTTCGGGACTGCATTATACGTCTGCTACTAGGCAAGTTTTAAATTGTTCAATGTTCTAAAGAGACTGAAAATGCTGGATTTGACAAGTCCTGTTCTCCCGTGCACTATACTCTGAAAAATTAGTTCTTCACTTCAATCGCGAATTCATAAAAGAGAACATACTTGTTTTCAGGCTGTAAGATTTTGGTTGGTGAGTGATCCTTACAGATAGTCTGCGGCAGATCGCCGTTTGCAGGAGAGCCAAATACTTGTTAGGCACCCCTGCTCACTGAAACCCATCTCTACATTGTGATCACTTTTATAATTCAGGCCACATCTCATACTCAAGCGTCCAGCATTTATGTATAAAAATTCATACAATTCTCATTCAATACAGCAGCATCAATTTTCTCAAACTCTCCTTTTTGTGGCATGTTTTTTCGTGAAATACATTAATTATTGTACGACTTTTCTCAATTCATCTTGAAAGAAGCAATTCACTCTCCGTTTACCACTCCAGAATTGACTTGAAATATATCTCGCGTGGGGTAGTGCCTTGGTTTTTGGCTCCTCCTCTTCCTTATAGACTCGCGCTCGGCCTTCTCCAGAAACTCCCTCTCTTCAGTCACAACATTCCTTTCATCTATCCCTCGGAAAAATCGAAATTCAAATTCTCGACATTGATCATTCTGATCACCAAAAATCACCTCTTTCAATCACAAGGAATTCTCGTTCGTCGAGTCCTCATTTTCCCTCTTACAACATGTCTCGTCTCCACAATCTCACTATTCTTGTGATCTCTATCTTCTCGTTCCTTGTCCCTGTTATGGGAAATACTTTGCAATTCCTGTCTCAAGACACCAAAGAACGCACCGTCTTCTTCACCCCGAATGCTGGCTCTGCTGAAGTTCCAAGTTTCTTTGTTCCGGCGAGTTCTGTGGATGGAAATGCAGTTGTTCACTTTCCTCAAGGGTAAGTCTACTACCTAATGAGATATTAAGTCTTCAAGTTACTAATGAAAACTTAACTTAGCTGGAGCGGCTCCTTCAAAGCTGTTCTTTCAGGAGAAAGCCCAGACGTTCCCAAAGTCACTGGTGAAATTACATTCCAGGGCTGGCAAGGAGAAACTTACTATACTGTTTCTGCTGTTCAGAATTGTTGCGATAACTCGGGCATTCGATCTCTAGCGTCTCAATTTACCAGCCCTATATCTGGTTGCATTGAAGCACCGTTTCCCTGTACTGCTTCGTACTCCAGACCTGGTGATATTCAAGTCAAGAGCTCCCCGGATATAGATTTTATGTGTATTTTAGGTGAATTCTAGTTGGTGTCAGTGTAAGTTTTCTGGTTCTTCAAACGCAAATTTCCTATCGTTCTGCTTAATTTCTTTCATAGCCAAATATCACCAAGCTAACAGTGAGATTTATAGTTGATCAGAGGTAATCCTAGTATCGAAAAATTCTCGGGAGACAGTAAGCACACGAAGAGCCTGAATCTGTGGTGGCATGGACAACATGAATCTGGCGGGAACAGGAACTCATCGGTAATCAAAAGTGGAAAAAGTGGCATTATAGGGCTGGCTCCAATAATGTAGCTGTTATTTCAATCTTTCAATAGCATTGAATATTCATGAGCCAATTGGTTTCTATGACAGAAATAGGTACAGACCTGTGTGCTTGTTAAATGCTGTTGCTTTGACCCATTTGCCTGTTTGATACCTACTCGCAAAGAATCTTTGAGTGAAAGAGCTTATAAATAACAAGACTAAAGTATTTAGAAACCTCATTAAAGGTTTCCTTAATCAGGGTGGCAGTGTCTTGATCGAATGAATTTTCATAAATATATATTTTGGTTTATTCCCACGCTGCATTCCCTGCCTTGGCCTCAACGTTGCATCAAGATATAGTTTCGTCCCTTCAATGAATATTTGTAGTTTTGTAACAGAAGAGGTGGGGTTTTACATGTATGTCTTTCTTCTTTTAACATTATAGAAGCTTTTGCATCGATTTTGTAGATGGTCCTACTGATACTTCATGTCGAGTGATCTCCTAATTAGCTTTTTCCCGTTATCTTTGATTATACCATAGAATGACACGAGGGTTAAAAGCAAACTAAACGCATGTCTTCTGAAGCATTGTAAATGGTTAACATATGAAGATTTGGTTCGTATAGATCTTGTTATATTTAGCTGGCTGTCAAATACAGAGGCTAATGGGGAGTGATGGGTGAAATCTTGATGGAGCCCGATGATGATCCAGTGAACACGCACAAAGACCGAAAGGCAGTAAGATAGTTACATTGACTCCTTACTTAAATTTACTCAGTCTTCTTCAAACAGCAATGTACGTCTTGATAGGTAAATGTCACTTAACCCTTGATTAACAATCATCCACGTGAATATTAGAAGAGTAATCTTGACTTTGTGATTCACTCTGTAAAATGGTACTACAACACTGAATCCTCGTTATATATCAAAAAAATGCTTTTTTTGACCAGGTCGATATACAGCGTAGTTTGAACCTCTTCAAAAGACAGCAGAGGCTATTGGAGCTGATCGTTTTCCTTATGACACAGCGGTTACGACTTTTCTACATTCAGTAAGAATTACCCCAAATCATCCTTGACTAAGTTTGATCTCGGGTTTGCACAATTTGGTCTTAGGTAAGGAATTCAAGCCATGGAGTCTCAAGAATTCACAACCACCAAACCTTCTTTCTATTATCCTGGCCAGCAAAAGGAAATATTATACTCTGTTGAATTATTGGAGAAACTTGACTCACCAGAGCCACATCTAATAAGAAAAGAATGTGGTGTCATTCAAACTACCCCAAAAGCGATCACTATAGCTATTTCAGGATGTAGCTCATCAGGCAAAACAACGTTAGCATTACTACTTTCAGAGATTTTCTCTTCTTCTCCAACCACAAAAGACTCGACAGGAAATGAATCTCCACATATATCCGAGAAAAATAATCTAGGCGACGCAAAAGCTACACATCCCTATACAACCACAATTCATCAGGACGCTTTCTTCATTCCGAAAGCTGACTGTCCATTGGTCCAATTCAACAGCGGTCCTAACGACGAACATTTTGTAAAAGAAAGTCTTGCACAAGAGAACGAGAATCCAGTCTATTTCTACGCCAGAACTGGCACGAATGGGGAAGAAAATGTACAGATCACCGGACCAAATACTGATTGTATGGAAGCGATCAATTTTGGCAATCTACTTCGAATGGTTCAAACTGCGCAGGCCAATGATGCTGAGTCAGACATGTGTGTTCAATATAAAGATGACGCAGACAAGAAGAAACTGATTGAGCAATATTCCGGGGTGATCGAAAGCATGCGCAGAAGGGTTAGAGAGTATTTGGCCTTAAGAACAGGTAATCGTAAGAGAAACGATATTGTTGCAGACTATAACTGTGCATGGGTATTCGTTGAGGGATTCCTATTATTCACCAAAGTTTCGCCTTCTGATGACAGAAGCTCATGGCTGGATGCATTCTTAGAGGTCGAAGACCGTTGTGCAGGGCTATCAGAAAATGTACGACGAGAATTCAAAAAAGAAGCTGCATTGAAGGAGGATAAAGTTATGAGAGCGAAGGAAGAGATGGCTGTGGCAAAGGCAGCTTTGATGCAAGAATTTGATATCAAACTATTCTTGCCTACTAGCAAGGAGGTCGCTAAAGAGAGGAGACTGAGCAGGTTCCCATACATCGACTTTCCAGCTGGTGGAAGATGTCCTGGACAGATGTGGAAGTCAGAAGGATACTTTGAAGAAGTTGTTTGGAAGGGCTATGAAGATTCATTCGGTTGGCTGTTAAGAGAGACTGGAAAGGAGAATGTCGACGGCGTGTTTGTTAGAACTACTGTCGATGACACAATTGAGAATACTGTTTACTGGGCAGTTGATATCATTCTTCGATTTTTGAGAGGAGGCAATGGTGTAGTTTCAAAGGGCAATGCTCGAGGACTTTAGGCCACAGGTACTCATCTCGGATCGGAGGAGGTATTCTGAAGTCTCCTAATATATTGAGGATCGCCCTCTTGGTATCTATGCAGTAAGGAGAGTTGGGTTGGTATTTGGTATATAAGATGATTAAGATTCCTCTGGTACCAGCGGTATTTCATAGATATTAATAACAATAAAAAGTCGTAAAAACGTTCGTTCCAAACTTGCTATTTCACAGTGCTGGACCTGAAGATTGGTCGTCGTTGGAAAAAATGGCAGCCTTGCGCAAAAGGCTACAATTTCCAGCATCCAAAACCTCAACGACGTCGCAATCTACATTTCCTCATTTGTTTACAACCAGCAACCATGTCACACCTTTATAATCCTCTTGCAACAGCTCAACAATTATACCAAAACACCTCAAACAACAGACTTCCAGCTGAGCTTCAAGACAGCATTCGATTTTATACCGCTCGACTTACGCAAGCCGCAGGCATACTGCTTGGTCTTCCCCAAGATATCACAGCTCAAGCAAATGTTCTTCTCTACAGATATTGGCTTGCGGATGACTTGATGCAATATGAATATAGCGTACGTGATGAATTGGAGGTGTATCATTGATTTCTTAGAATAACATGTTCTCAGGACGTCTCAGCAGCTACCCTCTACCTAACTGCGAAAGTATCCGCGTCTCCTCGATCTTTTCGCAGCATTACGAATGTATATGCTTATCTCCTCTCTCAATCCGCAACTCTCACAAATTCTCACGCGCCCGACAACAACCCCTCGTCGTACTATCTTTCCGAGTCTGCCTACATAACCTACCGTACACGACTTCTCAACATTGAGGGCCAAGTCCTGAATGCTCTGGGATTCAATACACACGTCGCTCTTCCCCATCCTCTCGCAATTACATATCTTCAAACTCTTGATATATTTTCACCGGCACACAAAAATGGCAGTGGCAAAGCGATCGCGAAGAAAACAATACAATATCTTAACACAGCGTTGCTCAGTCCACAGATGCTATATTTGACACATCAGCCATGCGCATTGGCAGTGGCGGCGATATACCTAGCGGCAAAGGAAGAGGGGATCAAAATGCCAGAAGATGAATGGTGGGAAGTGTTTGATGTTGAGAGAGAAGAGTTAGGGTTTTTGGTAGTTGGGATGAGGAGTTTAGAGGGCGTGGCACGAAGGGGAAAAGAAATATTTGGGGAGAAGATGACGATCGCCAAAGATGATATCATGGAAGAACTGGGGAAACGGGGGCTGGGACCAAATAATGGGACGAGTAATGGCCAAAGCAAGAAACTCGACGAAGAGGACGAAATGATGAAATTGATGGATGAGAGGATGGAAGATTCATAGACCTTCCGAAACGTGGAAGGCTTGGATTTCAAGATGGAAAATGGCCATTATATCGTGTGAAGGTCAACGAGACGCCCCCGAACGTATGATCTATACAGTCATATGAATGTATATTTCTCGACCATGCGGGGACGCAATATAACCTTGATGAAGGCTATGTATACTTTCCGGCTACCAACGCAGAAACCAGCCAGAAAAGCCAAGACCAAGAAATCATCCCAAACTTCATAATATCGCTGGCTAAAAATCAGGATCATAGGGATAAGAGCCAAAGACTAGCAACAAGCATACTGGTCAGGATCACTACCACATGTTTAACCTGAAAACTACTGTTAACCAATCAAATCATTTGATCGATTTCTATCGCCTTCATTATCCCAGCTCCTTTCCCTATGTTATTGCCTTGATTGACTTGTGCAAGTGTAGATTGTTCCACATTTAACCTCTCATCCGAATCGTCCATTCTCGTCTGTGTTCGCAATATAGAATCATCAACGTTGCGCTTTGGTCTTAATCTTCGTTCAAGACGGTAATAACTACTGTTTTCCGTGGAATCGTTCGGGGTTGGAGACTTGAAGAACGTCGTTTTAATGAAGGATGGAAGAAATGGTAAACAGCCACAGATGATGCCAATGTTCACCTCAGCAATACTATGTATGTATGTAAGTCAATACTCTGTAATAACTTAAAGGAGTCTCACTTGCCTCCAGAGAAGTATAGGTACTAGACCATAAGTCTTGTCCAGAGTACCGCCAAGATGTAGCGTTTCATAAAGACGCAGAACACTTGCGGTACAGGCTCTGTTGAAAGTTATTAGACTGCATTTCTATTTGAGAACGATACATACAGAATGCCAGCTCCAAACACGATCGAGACCCCAATCTTCCGCATTGTACGAGTTTTCAATCCCCAAATCAATGGTATTGGTAGGAACAAAATCGTAAAATCACTGATGATACTCATGGCACAATCCGCAAGGAATATCGAATTCTCGTTAAGACAAGTGCCTTTTCTAGCTAGAGGATCCCAGAAATGGGCGACCGGCCAGCATATGAATATCTTTGCTGCTGTTGCAGGAACATAGTATAGTGCCATCAAGCCGATCAGCACTCGTATCGCCCATAACATCTTATTGCTGACGCCAAAGATGCGAGACAATAGAAGTAGAATTGCGACCTTGGTCGCAAAGACTTGTGGCCCGTACAACATCTGTGTCACATAAACTAACTTCGCATGCGACGTCAACACAGTTTTACTTCGTATATTCCTTCAACTCACCTTTTCAAACATTTTGATATCTGTAGCTGGAACATCCCATTGATGGAATCCAGCGCCATACTGGTTCACTATCGTGTATTAGAGTTGTGTATGTAGGTGTCTTCTGCTCGGGAACTTGCAGGATAATGCCATTCCAGAATATACGAGGGTGCCAACCTGCATGTCCAATCAGCCTTTTGGAGCTTCAGTAAATGTGTCGCTGAGATGACTTACCCAAGCCACTATGCAAGAATCTTCTCACATCAGTAAGTTTCTCGAGACCTAAGATTGTAAAGCTTACAATCATCTCCCGTTGTTTCTCGATGTATAAAGACTCTTGTATACAGTCGTATGATTACGAATACAGTGACGATCGGTACACAGACTGCCTGACAAAGAACATTATATTTAGCAATGCTAAGTGGGTTGACAAAATTTGGAGTCACTCCAGATGGTGGAGGAAGAGCGCCTTCAATCGCTTGCCGCCCAAAGAGATTCATATTGGTGTGGTATAATATATTCAGTTGTAGCAGTAACTAGTGCGAAGTGTAGGTTGCATCAAGATCATTGTCTTCTGTCCGCAGACCAAAGTCATCACTTCGACCAGGAGAGAATACCAATGACTAGGGCATTGCCCCTTATTAGGGTGAAGGCTACCAAAGGACTCTCTATGCGAGATTATCCAAACAAATATTACAAAGGTATGCAGCTGGGTACGAATATGTACATCGCTTTTGAGCCAGTTGCAGTCGTAAAACAAGAGGATCTGTAAAATATCGACTATTATGATGAGCTGCAATATCATGGTAGCCAATCAAGAAACCGCAAGAAATATCATGTCAGGGCTCAATACCAATCCTCTGGGTTCAATTTCAAACATTCTGCTAATGTCGAATCGGGTGTTTAGCCTGTTTTCAGTTGAAGGCGGGAAACCTATGTGGAAATTCAGGAAACAAGGAATTGACGTTAACGGGTTTTACGGGAAACGGGAAGCGACGTAAGTTTTCTCATCTCAACCGCTCATGACCTATGCGAGTAGACTAATATACAGATTTTTAGTCCAAATGTCTAACATTACATTGGTTACTCATATCGGCCTTTGGTACTCGTCTTTAAAATCATGAAGTCCTTGACATTTATATCTTCACCATTGACAAGGCTTGAATAAATCAATGTAGCGTCTGAATATAACATCCACTACAAGTTCTCTTTGCCGAGAGTTAAGGAAAATGCGCAAACATGGCCGGCCTGGTACATGCACATGAGTAGATGTCCGGTTGAGTGAGGTAAGATAGTTGGCAATATCAAAGTAATAGAAGCGATGCGGCACAGCCCTAAAAGTATTGGACAATACTTGCATGGAAGAAATTGTCTACGGAAGACTACTCCGCGTCCCCAAATCCCTGCAAGTGGGGACTTTCCAAGATCAACGGTGTCTGATAGTGATCAGGTCACTTAATGGTGGTACAAGCTTTATGGAGTATAGCTGGGCAATGTGGGTTCAAGGAAGAGGGGAAGTTTCTCTCCTTCTGTATCCTTCACACTGGCCAAGTGGAGATGTAGTTCTATTCTATCAAATTGATCTATATCAATTCTATTACTGGTTTGCAAGGATGTATCCCAGGGTACAACAGATGATGATTCACGGATACCACACTATAGCTATATGCAAAAGGGGATAAGAATATACCCCGGGGCCAAAACCGCAATTCTGCACTAAATTATCTCCCCTTCACCTCACTTCTGTGTTCGCTAGGCCCTTATTGTTAGATTAATTTCAGTCATTTCATTATATCGAAAAAAAGCCCGTACATTCCAACTGTTAGAGAGCACCCTTGTAATGCTGTGGAACCAGTCAAAATCGTGCAATCACAAACATTTGTCAAGGATCTTTTGTCTCCAATACGTTCACTCTCTGGAGCCCTGATCAAATCATATGCACGTCCGGATTATTTCTCGCGTAACTATATATTCCTCAAAAAGTTATACAAGGAAATAGTCAGGATCTATACTAAATAGCGTATCATTTCCGATCATCCCCTGGAAGGATGGAAGCTTCCGTTCGCTGACCAAATCAAGCATCACATAATTAAACAAGCACGCCCCAAATCATACAAAAGAAGTAGCTAGGACATAAATGGACAATCATCGATCGGAGATCAGCCCCCAAAATAGCATAACTATAGCACACCATAGCTATAAGCTAGTCCATCGAGACGCGTTACTCGGGTCGATATCATGCAGGAATACTCATGAATGAGATATTCCCCACTCAAAGCAAAGGAACTATAAGTTAATGAGATAGCACAATAACGGAGTGCATCTCTGCAGCGTGGAAGCCTCCCGCCTCCTTGACTCGACCAGAACAGACAAAATTTCATTGAAATGTCCCGATCGAATTATACTACTCTAATCACCAGCGAAACTTCGGATATCACGATGGGTGAGAATACAATTCAGGAGGATTATATGTTCAGTCGTGGATTCCGAGATTCAGCACGGTAACTTTTCCCCAGATCTCATCGGAGGTAGTTGCGAACTTTTGACTGATTTGGATAGACTTCATATTCAGCATCTACTGTGGAACATACGCTTGGGATGGCTACTTCATCCGTCAATTCTAGTGCCGACGGCTCCTAAAAAAGAGGATATGTTCTCCGTTGCCGATGTAGGAATTGGTAGTGCGTAAGTGTTTTGTCAACAAGTCAACTGGATATCAACACTAGACTGAATTTTATGAACACAGAGACTGGCTGCTAGAATTATCACAGAAAGTCTCTCCCAATGTACAACTTCGTGGTTTCGACATATCCAACAAGCTTTTTCCAGCAAAAGAATTTCTTCCCTCGAACATGAAGCTTGAGATTCTCGATGCCTTCGGAACGTTGCCAGAACACATCAAGGGAAAATTCGATGTTGTTCATATTAGGGCTTTTACAATTGTTATAAAAGGGGGCCATCCTGGAGTGTTGCTAGACAATCTCATTGCTATGCTGAGTAATTAAATCATATCATACTTCGAAAAGATGGGTGAAAAGATTCGAAGCTAATTCATGGATGAAACTTCAGAGCCAGGAGGATTTCTTCAGTGGGATGAGATGGATTCTGCATCTTTCAGTGCCCATTCCCCAAACGAATTCACACCTAAAGTGAATATGGAACTAGTTATAGACAGGTTTCAAGACATGTGTAAGAAGAGTGGCCTAGATTTTGGGTAAGTCGTTGATCCTATCAATCCACAAGTTAGATGGAGAAACAACTAATCAAACTTTTATGAATGGCCAGGTGGATCTCCAACTTGGCAAAGATCTGTAATCAACAAGGTCTGAAAGTTGTCGACAATTTCCGCCTTCCATGTAATGACGTATTGAGACAAATGACAACGGATAATTATTTAATGGGCCTTGAGGATCTGGGATATGTCGTATCGGAGAGAGCGCTTGGGGAAAGAACAGCGTATAGACAGGCGTTCAATAAGGCAGTGTTGGAGACGAGAAAAGGGGTCAGCATTTCTATGGATATGATTATTGTTGTGTGTCAATTGGAGAAGAAGTGATTGCAAAAGAACCAGGTACTAAAAATCTTATAATTACTAGCAACAAAATTGGACAAGTTATCCAGACCAAGTCGCGGAGAATGATTTACTTGATTACAATTATTCCAATCTTCTTTCTCAAGACTTCAACCTAATATGAAGAATCAATCCAAGAAGCCCAATTACTTCCCCACAGTGTGGTTTTGCT